TTTAGTTCTATGTAAGATGGTTTTTATCTTTACATGTCGAATTTAATATTAGCCTGGAGGAATTTTTTTCATAACTATTTAGTATTTGAGATCACTTGATCACTTTAGTCCTTAAGGTATAGTAAATAATTTTGTAGGATCTAATGGTTTTGACCTGAAGACTGAACATGCTGGTATTTGTTTGTTCATAAAAGATAAAACAACTCCTCTAGAAATTGTATGGGGTATTCCTTTAATATTAATCTTTAGTGTTCTATATAGCAAATAGTTTTACCTGCAGCAGTGTATCAGATTAAAAAAAAAAAGAGGGAAGTAACTTCTGAGATGGGAGACTTTCCTAGTGCAAAAATGAAAATCCTTTAGGATATCAGAAAATGCAGATTAGAAAGAAAGAAAAGCTTCCAGCTGAGACCTCTTCAGTAAGGAACGAGGTTTACGTAGCTTTGGGAATGTAGGTAGAATGTGAGTGCTTACTTCAAGTTGAATTTCTACACTGGACTTAATTATCTGGTGTGGACTGTTTGGGTCTGGGACAGAACTCTGAGGTTTTGATGCAACTTAATGAAACTATTTTATATTACATAGAAAAAAATGTATTTCAAGTTTTTTGCTTTTGTGTGACATCGCAGTATTAACTGGCAGAGTTGTTCTCAGTGGTTTTTGTTTAACTTTCAGACAAATGCTGCTAGCTACCTGCAAGTGCTGTGCTTGGCTGAGAATCTGCGAACAGATGTAAAAGACTTAGCTGCTTTGTTAACCACAAATAACTGTGATATCAGGCAAAGCGTTCTCTACTTACAATTCTGGGTTAAAAGTGGAGGTGGATACTTGAAAGACAAACATCTGGTGCTTCGTGGTAGGTTGATTTTAATTAAAAAACATTGTCCTGTCTTAAGATGACTGATTAAATGAAACTGTTTGTAACAGTGGGTGAACACAAGCTAACTTTCTGTAAGATCTGTGAAGATTTGGTGTGTTTGGGGGATTTTTGTCATTTTTGTAATGCGTTCTCTTGTACTTCAAAACCTTATATTAAAAATACATGTATTCATATATGCATAAGGGATGTTTATCTTTGGAATAGCAAAACTGCACAGAGCAGAGAGCCAGTTGTGTCCCTTCAGCTCAGAGTTTGCAGTTTGTTATCCATTAGTGGAGTTAGAGGCAACTCACCTGAAAGACAGAACTGAAAATGGAGAAAAACTGAATAATTAGCAAGGGAGCAGCCGTAGGATAAAGGATACAGGAGGAGCATCTTCAGTGTGAGCATGTTACACAGATGCATATAACAAATAATTTCTAATGGCCACGTGCAAAAAGGGAGAGTTTGAGAACTAAGGAAATGAAATGGGCAAGACTGGGGCAATTTCAGTTTCTGTACGCAGTCAGAACTGCAGCATTCTTTGTAAAAGGAATTAAGGCAAACTGGGGGAGGAGGGGAGAAAAGCCAGTAAGTTGATGATGTAGCTTTTTTTGAAGTGATGTCCATTGTCTTTGTGCAGGAGAAGGTGAAACAAATCCAGCAGATCAAGCAATTAATTCTGAAAAGACTGCAGGTCCCAAGATTGACTTTTCTCATGATGCCCCACCTCAGGAATCTCCAAAATGTGACACAGGCTGTGTGGAGACATTGCTTGGCCTCAAGAACATCCTGTTGCCGTCAGAAGATTTGTTCACATTTCTTAAGGTATTTTGCTCAATATTTCAGTGCAGTTGTCACTATGAATATTATCTTGGAAGGAAATCTTTTTGAAAAAGTTTGTTGTCCAAGTTAATATATTCTCCAGTAATGAAGCAAAATGCGAATCGAAGCAGTTGGCAGAAAACCTCATCCTTTGCCTTGTAACTAAAGCTGGGAATATGAGGTTTTCTGTAATATTTTCTGCATTAAAATACTTTTTTTTAAATATATATATTAATATACTTTTCCACAACTATTATTTTACAGCAGAAGATCACAACCAAGGAGAACTGGGATAAATTGATACAGCTTCTCACAGAATTCCAGCTGAAGAAAGTGGATTTTATATATAGTAATCTTGAATTTCTTCTCCCTTTACCAGTGAATTACCTTTCAAATCAGTCTGAAGCATCTAACCCTATACCTGAGAGGACTGCCATAGTTTCTTCAAAAAACAGTTCCATTAACAGTTACTGTTATGGGAAAAGTAACTCTGGGAAAAAATCTAGAAAGACAAAGAGCAAGAAAAGGCTTGAAGAATTGGATGATAGTGACTTATTTGATACTGGACTGAACTGTTCAGCTGAATTCTTAACTTTGCCATCAGATAGTCCTCCACTGTGTGCCAAAGTGAATGAAGAGGAATCAAAATTGATGAATAACAGAAAAGGAAAAGAAATGAAAGGCAGAGCCCCATCAAATGACAGAAGATCTGCTGTTGTTGTTCAGTGTCTGAATTCTCTGACTGAATTTGTGGAGGACATGTCTTTTTTGGACTGCTGTGTAAACAGTCCTGCAAAGGAGCCACTGGAGTTCTCTAAAGATGAAGGATTCAACTGGATGAATGGCAAAATCAAGAATGGTCTGTGTGATGAATTCAGTATTGAAAATACTGATTGGTGGAGCTCTCAGAGCTGCAGTGAAATAAAAGCAGCTATTGAAGCACTTAGCTTTAACAAATGTTCTGTTAGTATTTCTCAAAACTTGGAAGCCCCTTTGAGCACAAGTAATACACCTGGAAGTGATCAACTTGAGGGACTGACTTTGCATGTGTCAGACACGAGAAATTCTGTATCTTTCAATCAGTCAGCTGATTTAAGGTAAGGCTTTGCTGGAGTTATTTGTCCAGAAGAGCATTTCTCAGTGTAGCACTGCTTCAGATACTGTGCCAACATGGATGTTTTCAGTAGGCCTGAGAACACTGGAATAAGTTGTTAACTTTGCTTAAATGAGCTCAAATTAACTGCTTAGCAGTTGCTGCCCAAAATAACATTTGAATACCCTGACCATAATGTTCAGGAATGGTGGCTGTAATGTGGTCTATATACTTTAAATTCAATTCACACACTGCTACTCCAGTAAGAAAAACAAAAATTTAAAGGAATTTAAAGGCTTTTCCCAGTCAGTTGGACTGAAATTGGTTCTGAAGGTACCAGAAATGCAATTTTTTTCATCTAGTGCCTGGTTATATTGAGTCTGTATTACATGTGCAGGTGCTACCTGGTGAAGATAAATGTAATCCAGAGGTACTGCCTTTCTGTAATCCGTACCCAGAAGAGCAGTGTCAAAATGGATGTTTCTAACCTGTGACCATGTGTGGCCAACACAGCATATATCCAGAATGGCAGTTACCTGATTCTTCTATGTTTTGAAGACCACAGATGCTTTTGGCTGTGTGATGGATGTACTCAACCTCACATACTTGACTAGACTGTGAAGACCTCCCCAGGCTAGACTCTGTATTTGAGCTAAGAACACTGGGAAAACTATCTGCAGCCCCTCATGTTTTTAAGGGCATCTCTGTGATGCTGTGTAACTAGTGCAGGTATCCATTGAAAGCAGATTTGGGAACCAGTATCTCCTTAGCAGTTTAATCAAGTGGATTTGATCTTAAAGTTGCAGATACGTTCTTGAACAAGAAACTGTAAAACTTCATTCTTTGTTTTAGCATCCACAAAAAAGCACAGAAGAGGCTGGCGGTCATCAGAACTGTATTTTCCAGAGCTCCTTTGAACCTTGGAAATAAGCAAGCCAGCATACTTGAGTATCTCCCTACTCTTCGTAGCATTTGTAGGTCTGAGAAGCTTAAAGAGCAAGGAAAGACAAAAAGAAGGTAAGCTTTGCTTTTCTTAAATCTTGCTGTGCTTCAGTCTGCAAGGTAGTTCAAGAATTTTGGTAAAATATTTTCTTAAATCTTTCTAGACAGAAAGGGTAGATGTTGCTTTTCTAAATGTTTTATCTGCCATTTGGAAGTAATTTTGTCGTCTTGTAGTCATTCTTCCTTTTTCTCTTTTTAGGTTTTTGCATTATCTTGAAGGAATTCATCTTGAAATACCCAGACAAGCAATCAGCAGTCTGTCTCTAGACTTCCCTTAGAATCACTAGCACCAGAAATACTTTGTGCCTAATGGTGGTATTCTCACCATAATTGCAGGGTTTTTTTACCACGTTATTTTATTGTATATTCAGAGCCATTTGTATATTAAATTTCTATAATTATTTAAAATACTGTAAATATCTATTGTCATAATATTGCTCTCCACATCTGAAATGTGGGTTTGTTTGGTGCTTGTCAGTACGTGCGTTTAGAATATTAAATGCACCAGCTGATCAGTTGGTACTACTTTGGTTTCAAACATGGAACTCTCAGCTTCAACAGCTTGCTTTCTTTTTCTCCTCCTCTTTGAGGAGATGATTGACTAAAATAGGCCTGATTCATTCAGAATTTGCATATATGTTAAATAACCCAGAGTGAGAAGGGAACAGGGAGAGAAAGCAAATGCTTTTCTGAAATGTAAATGACTGAAAACAAATCCCTCCTCAGTAACATGCAGATAACCAACTAAGTCATTACAGAGCACTGTGCTTCCATGTACGTATATTTGTGTACATTGGTTTCACTTCATTCATATTTTCAGCTGACCTGCATGTTAAATCTCCTTAAAAGAATAGAGAAATGAATCCTGTAGTACAAGATGAACTCAGACGTTAGGTGTGATTTTGTAAATAACAATTATTCAAGTATTACTTCAAGTTCAGTAATATTTAATTGCTTCCACTTTTGTATATTGTGTTCTATTTTTATACTTCATTTTCTATTTGATGACTTCAGCCTCATTGTGATACCATCTGTTTTTATACAACAATATATCTGATAAAGTCTTACTGTTCCTATCAGAAGCATCCAAAACTGTAGCAAAGTCTCTAAAACAATGTTTTCCATCTGTGAAAATGTATGTGAGGATGTTCTTAACTGGAACTACTTCATCCATATTCTTTTCTGACTTTGTACTGCAGTTTCAACTGTGTTTTTCTTCTTCTCAAACAGGGATTGTTGCAGCACAGTGGTGCTGTGTTTACCTCCTTGTTTCTGTAACAAGGCCGTTTTCTGGTACCTTCTGTTGTCATTTTTCATGAATGAAAAATAATTATGGAAACAGTAAATTATGTGAAATAACGGTGCTGTAGATAACCTTTACACTTTACTCTTTCAGTAGCAGAGAACTATCAGTGAGTGAAATAAAGTGGTGGCTGTTAAAATTTTAATGGCTTGTGCTGCTGAGTCAATGGTTGGAGCGACTTCTGTATTTATTTTTTACAAAGAAAAAGAAAAATCACTTCTTTATAAAGGATCACAGTCCTAGGGTAATTACAGTATGGACCTATGTCTATCAGAAAAAGGCTCTATAAACTATTGTTCATTTCAGGAAGTAGATGGGAAAGGTAAATGAGGAGTGAGAGGTAACTCCTCCTGAACTTGGTTGTCTGGTTCTACTAACTGCCTTAAGAATTTTTGTTCAGCAATCTCCAAGCTGGTGCTGAGTCCAAAAGGTAAGGAGGAATTCAAGTATTTTCACTCTTTGATCCTCTGATCTGTGACCTGTGTGCAATTACCTCATGAAAACAGCTGCAGCTCTTTTGAATGAAGGATATTCTACAGGTGATGGTTTGTTTGAAGTGCTAACCCTTACACTACAGTAGTCAGGAACTTAAGTAGTGTCAGTTCAGGCCCAAGGACTGGTGTCAATTCAGAGACTAAAGCAAGGGCTGCTACTGCTGCTGTGCCAGAAAAAAAACGCTGTCCAGAAAGGATGGCGCTGCTGCTGAGGGAAAAATGAGCCGTGCCCCATCTGGGCTCCCTGAAAGCAGGAGCCTTAGCAATACTTTTTCAGACCGGAAAGAGGGAAGTTGGTTGTGGGCAGCTTGTGCGCTCGGTTCGGGGCTGTGCGATGATCGAAACTTCAGTTTCAGCGCGTTGTTAGCAGCGCGGCTAGAAGCGTTGCAGCAGGGCTGCTCGCAGCTCGCCGCGGTTCCCGACCGGTTACTCGCAGTCCGCCGGTTACCGACTCCCGGTGCAGTGCTGGGGCGGCTCCTCGGCGCGAGGCGGCCCCCAAGGAGTTCCTCCTTTCGCGTGCCGGGGCCGAGCCTCCCGCCGGGCTCCACCCGCAGAGCTCCGCGCCGGGCGGCGGTGATGGACCGCGACCGCAACAAGACGCTGCTGCAGGAGCTGCTGAAGGTCACCGGGAACGGCCGCTGCGCCGACTGTGGGAAGCCGGGTAAGGACCGGGGGCTCCTCTCGCAGCCGCCGCCCCTCGGCGCGGTGCGGACGGGGATGCGGGGCCGTGCCCGCCGTCCGGGCGCCCGCCCATCCCGTCGCGGGTGCGAGGCGCGGCCGTTCTCTGTTTCTGTCCCTTCTTCTGTTTCATCGCCTTTAGCTTCGCGCACCCCAGGGGCGGGAGGACGGAGCGGGCGGTTTCCCGAGGAGGGCAGCGCCGCGGCAGGTCGCTCGGCGGAGGTCGCTCGGCCGGGCTCCGGGAGCGACGAGGGGCGCGCGGGCGGCGGGGCAGGAAATGGCCTCCGGCCGCTTCTCCGGGGCTGCGTGGAGCTGCCGCCGCGCCGCAGGAGAGGAGCCGAGCCGGCGGGTGGCTGCGGAGCTCGGGGGACCCGGTAGTCGGTCGGTAACCCTCAGCGGCTGCGAAGAAGCGGCAAGCTGCGATTGTTCGGAGCGATAAGGGAGAGGCGGCCGGAGGAAATGAAGTTGCTGGTGCGCTTGCAGCGCCTCTCAGCATCGATTGGACGCGGCTGCTGCAGGCGGGAGCTTCCACTTGCGGTCCCGGGCGGCTGCGCTCCGTGTGATCTTAGTTGTGCTCGCTGTCCGAAATAGCCTTCCAAATTCAGCAACAAGAACCTTCTACGATGAACTAATAATTAGCTTAGCTTCCACATCGCTGCTCGTCTGCCTGAACGGTCACGTTAATTTTTAAACAAATGCTCTGTGAAAAAGTTCACAGATTTCAGGGCTGCATTCTTCAATGGGAAAAGCAGATGCTGTTCCTCTAAATGTGCGCAAATGGCAGCCGTAAACAGTGGGGTGGGATTTGATGTATTAGGTGTGAAACCTGGGCTGTGCATCAGTGGCTGTGCCTTTTCCCAGTTAGTTATACCAGTATTATAAAGTACATTCTTCTTGTTTGTGTCTAGATCCAGAGTGGGCTTCTTACAAACTTGGAATATTCATTTGTTTGATGTGCTCCGGAATCCATCGCAATCTTCCTCAAGTCAGCAGGGTCAAATCCCTTTGGCTTGACTTCTGGGAGAACGATCTTATAGAGGTACGGAAGGAAAAGGAATAATTCACTTACTTTCTCCGTATTTCAGCATAACTTGTGACTCAGAATTTGTGCCATCCACCATGGACAGAGGAGCAAAGCTACACAGAGCAAAGTTAACTGCATGGGTAACTTCAGGGATTTTCTATGACCTACTCGATCAAATTACACTGATGGGTGGTGGTATTTCTAACAGGCCGCAGTGATCTGCATATCGAAGCTTAGATCCCACTGATATGTCCAGATAGTACGTTCCCTTTAGTAATGAAAATAACCTTAAACATTGCTTCAACTTGTCATCTTTCTGTGGAAATGTGTTAATAGCACAGCCATCACTTATTCCTAGGGATAGGTGAAGATAAAGGGAGATCGTAAATATATATTTTCTTCCTTACTCTCTTCTGTCATTTTAATTAACAACCACAACGTTGTGTTCCCTCCCATCTGGTTCAGAACTTAGAGTACTGAAAAGGGCCAGCTATCTAAAAAGTGCAAACTACAGTTCTAAAGGAAATCTATAAACTCCAGAGATGCTGAAAGGTAGGGTGAGACTGAGCAAAGTGTGCAGTGTTCCCTTTGATCCAAGTTTCATTCTGTGTTTGTTACATTATATTGGTTTTGTATTTGCAGACCTAACTGGGTCGTCTTCTGTATTTCAGTTTATGAAGAAGCACGGGAATCTCTGTGCCAAAGCTAAATATGAAGCAAAAGTCCCTCCCTATTATTACATCCCCCAGTCCTGCGATTGCCTGTAAGTTGATTGTTTGTTCAGTGCAGCAGACCTTCACAGCTATCAAACTACTGCTTCCCTCTGCAGGTCCTTTGGGGTGGTTGGTGAAAATAGGGTAGAGGCAGATCAGCTTTATCCATGTTTTCCTCTTTCAGGGTTTTAAGAGAACAATGGATTAGAGCTAAATATGAGCGTGAGGAATTTGTTGCCACCCGAGTCTGCCAAGATCCTTGTTCTGCAGGTAAAAGCTAGGATTGTCAGAGAAAAGATATTTGTTTCAAGGCCAACAGCGTGGTATTTTGTCTGCACTTTTGAAGGCCTTTAGGGATGGCTTGCATCGAATGAAATGTTGGATATGCAGTTCTTCAAGTGTGTGACTTTGAGGAGAAGCTCCTAACAAGTGCAGAGTATGTTTAGCTCATATATGCTCACACAGTTCTGTAGTTCTCCACTGGTTTGTTCTATTTGAGGTGAAAATTCTCAGATGGAAAAGAAACTTGAAACTCTGTGACACATCAGATAAAAGTGCTGCTGCTGTGCTGCCTTTGTCTGACGCCTGTCTCCACGCAATACGCAGGTAGCCATGAAGGATTCCTCTGGAAGCGTGGACGGGAAAGCAAGCAGTTCAAGCAGAGGCGGTTTCTCCTGTCAGCAAGGGAAGGGGTGATGAAGTACTACACTAAAGAAGTGAGTTCCCAGCCAGGGTCAATTGCAGGTAGCTGGTCCACATCCAGCCTCAGGCTCTGCTCCTTATCAGCTGGAAACAGCACAAATAGCTTTGTCTCTAGCAGCCTGTATTAGGAGCAACCCAGATGTTTGCACACTAACATCTGTGGTATCTTAGACAATTGCTCTTTTGGAATTAAGCCTTCTCCTCCCTCATCTCCTCCCTGCAGCCTCCTTTTCCTTAGTGAACAGAGGAAGTGGACAGTGAATAGCAAGGTGAAGAGGAGATCTGTTAGCAGCTGCTACCTCTTACATTACCAAAATATTCTTTTATCAGCTGTTGCAGCAACATCCTCAACATGTTCCCCTTCCATGGGAGAGTGCAGCTAATTGACTTCCTACTATGAAGTTGCAGACACATCACTCCAGAGCCAAACATTTTCAGGGAAAGGGAGTCGTGTAGGTGATTTTATGTAACATAGAACTTGAGCTTTTATACTCCAGATATATCGTGTTGTCAGGCACTTTCTGATCAGTGAGGATTTAGTTCTCAGCTAATCTGTCTTCCATTGCCTTTCTTTTGACCATTTTAATACAGTGATGCTTTTCACTTTCACAGTCCAAAGATCCAAAAGCCGTTATCAGCATTGAGAAACTGAATGTGATGTTCCAGGCAGAGAAAATCCATCATGCTCACGGGCTGCAAATCACATACAAGACAGATGGTCAAACAAGGAACCTTTTTGTCTATCATGAAAGCGGAAAGGTGAATGTCAGAGATTTTGGAATGAGCAGTACTGTCAGATGTTGGGTCTGTATTTTGGAAGAGCTATCTTGTTTTTGCAGGGTCTGATTCAAAATCACTATGACTTGTATGATTTAGAATGTTGCTGAATTTTACACTAGGAACTGCAACATCTTGGTCCTGTTCTGTTGGAGTGTTCAGCTTCACACACTGAATATTCTCACAGATTCTTTATGGCACGTACATAAGTGTCTAAGATAATGTTCTGAAGGTTTTATATAATTCAGTGATTGTATTCTTTGAAGCCTCTTGACGCACATGAAGAATATAGTTGTTCTGCATTATTTCCAAACAGACAATGGTGATTTTAAGAAGCATGTCTACAGGCTTTGTTAGATTTCTGTTTCTTCCCTTGATATAGTTCTGAAGTCTTTCCAGGTATGAGGGTTTCTAAAGAGTCCACAACTGAAGCAACTGAAAAAGCCTGTCCAGAGTCTTCTTGGAGAGGCATTTAAAACTTATTTTGGAAGCTGAGTGTTTTTCAGGTGTCTTGGACAAGTCACTGACTCTCTCTGGCCATTGGAGAGAAATTCTGTATTTGCAAAGAGATTACAAGGAAGGAGAAAGGCCTTTTTGGAAAGGCATCATTCTTACCCCTTCGTGTTATTTTTGTCTTTTTGTTTGTATTGCTCTTTTCCCTAGGAGATTGTTGACTGGTTCAATGCCATTCGGGCTGCACGTTACCATTATCTCAGAACTACCTTCCCAGCTCTCTCAGAGCACGAGGTGAGAACTTAACAAGGCATGAAGCAGTCTGTGCAAACACATTATGGGAAAGCATTTTCCCACTTGTGCCAGAACCAGGTGCTCAAACAGCAGCATGCAGGCTTGGAAATGCCAGCTGCCATCGTGCTTTCTCTAGAGAAAGAGGCAGGCTCCTAGTGTGCCTCAGCCTGCTTCTAATACTGTGATTTGGAGGCAGCAGCTTTAAAATACGTAAAGCTGGTATAGGTGTCAGTGGAACTGTGGACAGGCTCTGTGTGATGGCACTGGGAAAAAATGAATCTGCAGAGCAGATGCAGTTGTGTACTAAATAGATAGAGAGCCTAGTTGAGAGACCATCACGCTTACCTACGTAATATGGCAGGAGATGGTGCTTTTGTTCCCCTCTTATTTGATATATTTGAAGCTTGTGTTTCTGCACAGCTAGTGCTGACAGTTACACCTCATTCTTTTTTTCTCCTTCTGGTTGACATCAGATATGAAAGCTAAATCTTTGTTTGCTCTTCAAAACATATCTGCGTTTAGCTATACCAACTGCGTGTAATCACTCTAATCATTCATGCTCAGTGTTGTGATCACTCTAATCACTCACGCTCACTGTCTCTGTTGGTGCCAACAAATATTCCTTAGTATTCAGTTGTCTTAGAGATGGAAATGAAGGTAAGTCTTTTAATGGCAAGCACAAACTAAAACTCATTTGGCCCTCTCTTACACTGACCCGTTGATCATCTCCTTGCTGGGCAGGAATATCAGGTTCTCAAGTAAACACAAAGATGCTTTGTCCCACTTTATTCTTTTCTTTGCAGTGAGCATCACTGAATTTGCTTCTTTTTCTGCTGTATTCCTTCACATTCCTTAAAACAGTCACTTTTCTTATCATAGATAGGTAAAATTAACATCTCTTTGAAAGCAACCAGACAACAGTCAGCCTATATAGCATGCCAAATTAGTAGTAAGCCTTGAGATGGACAGAAGATGAAGAGAAAAAAGAGTCACACTGTGGCTAACATGCAGAAAGGAAGTAAACGCTTAAGGCCAGAAAGACTCCGTTTCCTTTTATACTGAAATCTGTCAAAAATCCTGTGTTCCTTCTTAATTCAGACTTCCCTTTGCTGAGCAGCTGAAAAAAAAAACCCCAAGCCCTAAAAGCCAAAATTGTCAGTGATTTGCTTTGACAGAAAAAGGACAGAAAAATGAGCCTGAATGAGATGGCAGATATTTATGTGCGCTTGTTCTAGATCATACCCCGGATCACAAGAAACTATATCAAAGAAGGATATATGGAGAAAACGGGACCAAAGGTAGGTTGAGATGACCTACTTGACAGAAGCAAGATTCTCCCAGAAGGAGATCGTTTGATAATTCTATGGTGCTTACTCATAAATGATTTATTAAGGGGGCTGGGTCAATAATGACATTGTATTCAAGGCTGTTGTGTTGTTTAGGATCATGTTTTACTTAGTATGGAGAAGAAAACTGTGAAGGAGGATCCTTCTTGAAGAGTTAGCAAGATGGATTAGTAGGCAGTGGAAATGCAAAGTACTGTTAGGCAACACTAAATGAATTACTGTATCAGTTGCCTACTAATTACAGCTCTTGAACTGCAGCTACCTCTGGAACTGAAAATCACATGCCAGCCCCTCTATTTCCCTATTTATCTGAGTTAGTAGCACAGAAGTCACATCTCTTTACTGTGGCAAATTCTTCAGTGTTAAACCTATGGTTTGGGTTGGTTGTTTATTTTTGTGGGAAAGTACTTGGGCTACTACTTATTGAAACATTGAGAGAGAGATTTCAGGCTCTGCTAAAGAGCATAGGAAGACCTGAGATCTTGTTTGAATGCTGGTACTTGTTGCCTTGCTCCTCTGGATGAACTGCTAGTCAAAGTCCTATTGAAAAATTTAGTGATTAAATACTGAATATTGATGGTAGTTTTTTTTTTTCCTACCTCTGTGCTAGCCTCCCAGTACATCTTCCTGCAGGTACTTGTAGAGAGAATACTCACAGCTTCAAGCATGTTTTGGCTTGCTTTTTTTCCTGAGGCCTAAACTCAAACTGGAGTGAGCCCTGGAAGAGGACTCTTCAGCACGGAGCAATGAATATCTCAGGGAATGTTTCCATGAGTGCAGTTGATGGAATTAGCACTTTAAAAAATAAATGCCCATACTGCAATGGCAGGGGCAACATCCCAAACCAAAATCCTGAAGTTGTTTGCACGCTCTCCTTGTGATAGCCACTGGCCCACGGATTGTTTTCTGCAGTGATTTTGATTAATCCACGCACTGTGGTTGTTTTTTTAACCTGGTTGGGTTGTTAGCAAAATGAATTTCTGTGCTTTGTCCAAAGGATTGCCACTAAATGTAAATCTCCAGTTGCATACAGCAGTGACTCACTAGTTGCCAATTAAGAGGATGGGTTAAACTGAATTCGAGCTCAGAGTCACTTAAGCAACCTTGGGATCTGCTCTGATTGGGAAAAAATTGTCTTTGGGACTTGGTCTTTAAAGAACTTCTACCATCTACTTGCAGCAGAAGGAGACCTTTAAGATGCGCTGGTTCAGCCTAGACTCTGAAGAGAGGAACCTGCTGTACTTTAAAAACCCACTGGTAAAAAGAGTGTTCTTCACTATTCCACAAGTTCCTTCCTGTAGATGGGTGGGGAGAAAGGGTCTGTTATAATCTAGCTCTCCCAGTAGCTGCATAAAACAAACAAGGTAATCTCTAGAGCTAATCTCCTTTGTCGGAGGTATCTTTGAAGCTGAGCTGTTTGGGAACTCTGGTCCTCAGAGTGTTTGTAAGGGAGATGTAAGTCTTTTTGAAAGGTAGCTGCTACTGCTGTTAAGTTTTATAGCCTGTTTTTTTCCCAGCCAATTTGTAGTCACACATGGAACCTCAGGCAAGATGTGTGATATTCCAGAGGGCAACATCCTGTTTCCTACCATTGCTCTTACAAGAATATCCTACTATGCTCCTTCTGAACACCCAACCAGCTCTGCAGTTATAGGCTCTTCTTGCTTCTGAGAATGCTCGAGAGTGTGAAACGGCTCTAGTATGTTTTCTGCCTGTCACCAGTTCAGTGACCCTTTCACTCATCTCCATCTCCTCCTGCTCCATGTCAAGGATGGAATAATGTCTGCTAGAGCTGAATTGTCCACTGGCTAATGAATGTCTTTTGTTTCCTTCCTTCTAGGATGCATTTCCACAAGGCCAAGTTTTTATTGGAAGGAGAGTCGAGGGCTATGAAGTAAGAGCTGGCTTGCCCCAGGGAATATCTGTAAAGAAGAGGAAATCAGGGATCACCATGGTCACACCAATGAGAGAGTTTTTGTTTCTGTGTGAGAACGACAGGGAGCAGAGGGAGTGGATAGATGCCTTGAATGGAATAATTGCCCAGCCCTTGTCTGGTTGAGACTAACACTGAGTTCCCGTGAACTGCACTTCTTGGGCTCTGTTTGGCACTCATCTGCATCCTCTTTGTGTCAGCAGGGATGGTGCTCAAGCCCATTCAGTGACTGTGCTACAAAGGGCTTTTTCCTTCAACAGCTACAGGCGCAGGAAGGGTGGCAAAATAAATGAGTGAGGGGAATGCAGATATTCAGAAATTATCTGTCCCTTCTTTTGAAGTGCATTCGCTCTTCCTTACATTCTCTGCTTTTGAGCAGATGAGGCCTGCTCAGGCTGATGTAGGGATAAAGTCAGTGTAGAAAGTTTGTCCATAGAGGACTGGCACGGATTTCCTTGAGGATTCCTGAAGAATGTACTTGACAATGCAGCCATGACATATATTCTGATAGTAAATGTGACCATCTGTTACATGCTGCACAGAACAAGTGACCAAGAGACAAAGCCATCAGCACCTGCCAGGACAGTGCAGCATGTCCTGCTGCATAGATGAAAGATAAAAATACATGCTGGAATGACTGGATGTTTTTCTTGGGGGGGAAGAGGGGGTGGGGAACAGGCAACTATTCTACCTGCTTGCATCTTCTGTCCAGCTAGGGACAGGGTTGTTGTCCATGTAATGGTTTTAATGTCATTTGCAGTGTTGTATTTTCATCACTGAAACTGTATTAAAAAAAAAAAAAATCACAAAAATCAGAGGGGGAGGAAGGGACTTCTGGAGAGCACGTGCTCCAGCCCCCTGATAAAGTATGTTTGTATCATCTATCTCACAGTTCCTAAGCTTATCTTGTAAGGATGTTCTTGGGGTATGGTGTCAAAAGCCTTGCTGAAGTCAAGGCAGGCAACATTCACTGCTTTTCCCTCATCTACCCAACCAGTCATGACATCACAGAAGGCTACCAGATCAGTCAAGTATGATTTTCCCTTGCTGCGCCCGTGTTGACTACTCCTGATAACCTTCTTTTCTTTCTTCCACTTGCTTGGGCTTGGACATGACATCCAGAATTAGTTGGATGGAGGTGAGGCTGACTGTCCTGTAGACTCTTATTATTTGAGGATCTGAGAAACAAGTCCTCAAAACTAAAAGTCAAGCTTGAGTTGCGAAGAATGTCGTGGAAGCATTCTAATAACATACCCTTAGATCCTTGCTTTCAACAGTTGCTGCTATTTGATTATTTTGGAAGCAGCAAATGCAGTATGTAGAAACCTTTTCTTTTTTTTTTTTTTTCCTCCAAAGCAGCCCCACCTACTACTCCAGTCAAGACATGAGTTCAGGATGAAGGCACTGGTCTGTGTCAGCTTCTAAAAATGGGGGAATGGGTGAGGATTTATATTTGTTGATACAGTGCACTGAGTATTTTCCTGCCTCACAGCCAAGGCTGAGATTTGGTTCTACTGAACAGTTATTCAGGTACTTAATTACTTTTTTTCAGATTCCCTTAGTTGGCGAATCAAGAGGAAGTCTTGCAAACTTAAGTTTCTGATCAAGCTTCCACCTTTTGCTGAAGCTTGCCAGCCAGTATGAGTTACCCCAAATAGTTCTCTTCAACAGGAATGAGGAAGTACCAATATGTGCATGGATTACTAAGATTAACTCTTTCTACAGCAGCACAGAAAAAAAATAAAAGATAAAAAAAATTAGGTCATCATTCTGCCTGTCTCTTATCATCCAACCTTGAGCAATCTGTGTCAGTAGTTTTGTTTCCTGATACATGCCCATTAACTTAATTTCCCAGCTCACGTGCTGGTTCAGATCTAACAGCCTATGCCTGTATCCTCTGAAATCAATAGCAAAGCACTTTCAAGATGAGCTGAATAATTCAAGATGATCTCAGAAGAGTGCAGTCCATCCAGTAACCTCAGCTTCATGGACAGGGCTGCTTCTGTGGTGGTGCTTGCTCTCCCACTGTGTCAGCAACATTGATGTGACTTTTGTTACAAAATCAGGAAGTTCCTTGAGAAAATGAAACTCTGGAGCAACACAACAGCATCTTTTTTGTAGACTCAATAAAAGTGAAGGCCAGGTCACAGGGAGCTAGCTCCACGTGACAGTTCATTTCTACAGTTAACCCAAACTTGGACCTGTATTAAGCGCTCTGACAGACCTGGGAGCTCCTTGCCTCTGCCCTGGGGAGCTCAGTGCTGCATGCTGGCTTGCAGGGCACAGCACCTCAGGGCTGTACAACAACTCCACCCAGCCTGCAGCTCCCTGCACCCCACACATGGCAGCAGCACAAGCCTGTGGGAAACGAAACTGCACTATGGCTGCTGCTGTTGACTTTGTGCGACTGCAGGCAGATGTGGAACTAAGCAGCCTGAACTACTTCATGGGCCGCGTGTGGATCATGGGTTGAACCCACAGCTTCTGCCAGTCCTGCATTACCAAGTACAGCCAACTGGGAGCTGGCCACTCTGGTGAACTTAATCCCCAGAGAGGTGGAGGAAGAAGACTTAGAGGCCTAGAATAAACCCACATTCTCTGGAGATGGTGCCCATTGCAGCCAGAACTCTGTAGGGCAGGGCCCTGGGGAAAAGGTATGGGCAGAAGCAGACAGTGCTTCTCCCCACTGCACCTCAGCCACTATTCTAAATGCCCTTCAGTGGGGCCATGAGACCCGGCCATGGCTGGGACTGAGTTAACTGCACCTTTCATCCTGCCTTTTTTTTCCTTTTTTTTTTTTCTTTTTTCTTTTTCCCCTGGATACTTTGTATTTCATGTGTTAATACTGGCATTGTTGTAATAGTGTTGCGTTTTGCTGACTCGGGCAGATAGGTTTAGCTGAAGCAGTGTGGAGTTCACTGGTGGTGTCTGCAAGTTGAGGATTGCATTTTTTGAAAGAATTAATAGCAAAATGTGCTCAGCTGGTCTAAGGTATAATAGCTAGCTGATCTTAGTGCTGGACTTCTGAACTCCAGGAAGTGCCTAAATCAGCAAGCTCTCAGGTCAGTTTAGAACAGGGAAGGGTGTGAATACTCAGAGAAGAGATGGGGCTGCCATGAGAGGATACTTAGAGGGCTCTAAACCTTTTTATTCTTCCAGTTAAAATCTGTAATGAGCAAATGATGTAATCCCAGTGCATTTCATCCTTTGCAGGAGGTTAGTCTCATCACATAGCCTTGAGCACTGAGCATCCTGGTGGGCAGTTGTTTGGCATTTCAGTCACCATCAGCTCTTTCCCTCTTCTTTTCACAAACCACTTCTGTGTTGCTATTTACTGTGTGAACATTGCACAGGACACTCCTGAAATGAAACATAAACCAGTACAGTGCTACAGCTCCACCCAGCTGAACGACACAGAATGGAACTGGTTCACTGTCTCTGCTTACAAAAACTCTCAGACCTTGTTGGAAATGAGCAAAACCTGACTGTTGACTTTCATTAACACTACAAATACATACGTCTAAAAAGTCTTAAGTCTCTGCAGTCATGCAAAGAGCTTAAACTCATACATATATTTGTATATATAACTTAGGACTGTTGAATGCGAACTTTACTGTGATTATTCACACAGTTAGATATGTTTACCAGGCCAGTGTTTAACTGACAGTAAGGTAAGGATTTTTATTATCCCGCTGTTTAACCTAGTCATGTTTTCTCTGAGGATTATACAGATAAGTGATCAAATGTGTCACTTTAAAGAAGGAACAGATACAAAACATCTCCAAGCAACTGAAACAATTGAAGAGGACATCAACATCTTGAGAAAGGATCTCAGTGACACAAAGGTACCTCTTGTACTTCATTACCTGCAATTAGCTTGTTCCCTTGTAATTCTGCAACAACTTGGAATCCCCCGACTGCCCAAAATTTGACTGCAGGCAATGCAGGACAGTATCAAGTGCATTTTATTCCTTTAAATACATCTGGGTCTTTCTGGTCAAAGAGCATGTTAAATGGGACAGTAAACTCTTGTACTTCACTTATCTTCTTTTATAACAAAAACCGGATCTCTGTGTTTTCTGCCTTTCAGGAATATACATCTAGGATCAAAAGCCGTATTACTGAAGTTCAGTGTTCATTGAACGGGAGGGCAAAGCAGCTCAACAGAAGACTGAGGAGAGTGCTCAGGAAGTGAACATCACAGATATCAAAGCCCAAATTGAGAAAGGACTGGGAAGTGATGAAGTGGCGGGTAGAAACTCGGCACCTCTGATCTCCCAACAGTAATTCGTGCTGGAGTGCGCAGGAGCAGCGTTTTACTACATTTTGTTCAGCAATTACTACACAATTTGCCTCCAGGGAAGCCCAGCGCGAGGCTTCTCCTCAGCGCAGGCGCGCACAGCACAGCGGCCTCGGATCGCCTCAGGGTGGCGCGCAGCGGTCGAGCGCGGGAGGCGCTCGCGCAGGCGCGCTGCCGCCCCTCGGCTGCTGTCCCTGCCCGGCCGCCGTAGGCCGCCCGCTGTGCGGGGGGGGGTGCGGCGCGGAGGGGGTCGCGGCGTGAGGGGCGCGCAGGCCGCGGCGGCTCCGCTACCCCCGGCGAGCCCGATGTGAGCGCCCCGCGGCGGGGCCAGGCAGCGGGGCCATGAAGAAGGACGTGAGGATCCTGCTGGTGGGAGAACGTGAGTGCGGGAGGGGCCGGGCCGGGAGCAGGGTGGGGTGAGGCCGAGCGACCGTCAGAGATCGGCACGGTGCTTTGGCGCCGTGAGGGTCGCACCGCCTCGGGGCGCTGGGCCCCCCCACGCGCGCTCGGAGCGCCGCGGCCTCATCTCGCCCCGGGCCGGAGCGGAGGGAGGCGGGAGGGCTCTGCTCTGCGGGGGGCCGGGGGCGCAGAAGTTTGCCTCGGAGTTGGTGTCTCCTCGAGAGGCCGTGAAGAGGGGACGGGGCTGAGGCGTTCGCCCCGCTCGTGGCCGCGTCCCGTCCGAGCCTTCCGGTGCCGGCTGGACTTCGCTCCCTCGATCCGAGGAGTCTGGGAACCAGTAGCGCCGCTGGGGCAGATGCGATTCGGGCAGCGGGACGGGGCTGGCAGAGGAGCCCAGCGTCTGCCGCCGCCTGGGTGACCTTGGATGCGCGCCGCAGTTACGGCTGGGCTCTGCTGCTCGCCGCGCCCCTGAAACTCCGGCCCTGCGCTCACATGCGGGCGCCCAAATAAACGGCCGGGCTGCCGGAAGCGCGGCTCCGCGCTGAGGGAAGCGGTACCGCGGAGGCTGCCTTCTGTCAGCTTGTAGAGCGCTCTGAAGTTCCTCGCGAGAAAAGAGAACCACGTAATTACCAAGTGCCGTTAATAAAATTGCCTAATTATACTGAGGATACAGCGTGACTAGCCTTGCCTTCCTTAGAACGTGGTGTGCGTACACAGTGCGGCTCCTGCGGTGCCCCGGGGTGCTTCCAGCACTGCTTCGGGATGGAGTCCTTGTGGAGATTACTGGAGAAGTTAGCTCATGAAGTTTGTCTGCTTTTACAAAGCTTGGTTTATTCCAGAGCCTTCAGAATGCACGGCTGAGTTCCTCCTCAGGATGCATACATCCTTTACTTTGTTTGTAATCTACCTTTACTTTCTTTGGCAATGAGCTGAGGGTGCAAGTTTTAGATTTATATCAGATGAACTGCAAGGTGACTCACAGAGCGTACTGTTTAAAGCCAGACTGAGCCTTTGCTTGACTTGAAATTAGTTGAGTTCTGTTTATAGCAGATGTGTATCAGTTTTGTTTGTATAAAGATAATTTAGTGAAAAATAGGGAGAAAAAAGTGTGCAAAATCATTTGAATTAAAAATCTGTGGAATACGTCAGTTTTTCTAGTAATACTGCTAGTAATGTTACTGGTGCTGTTTTGTATGCATGTCTTTTATGTGTACTTATTTGCCTGAAACAAGTCAATCCAGGCCATGCTGTACCTGCCAGATGATGGCATATTCAGACTCTGAAACAGCAAGACCTGATGAAAGCCCGTTCCAAAACACAGTTTTTTCACCCCTAGTAGTGGTCTTTTCAGATTTAAGATTGTTTTGGTTCTAGTACCCCAGGGTGTGAGCGTCAATTTTTAATTGCCCGTGACTTTCAGAATGTATCCAACTTTTTACTTCTGTACATCATGTACTAAGAGCTTCCATATATGAGGGAAAAGAAGACCAGTTAATCATTCCAAAGTCCTGTTTTCCTCAGCCGATGTTGTTTAGGCTGATACTTCTAAGACTATAAACAGAATGGGAAAGATGGGTGGCTGACCCAGATTTGAGCAAAATAAACCAAATCTCTGCTGTTGAACCTATGGGTCTTCACAGAAACAACTCTATAGTGCTTCACATCTATCAGAAGTTTGTACGCAGAGTGTCTTTCCTAACACGTGGCCCATAGCCTTCTATTTTCAGTCGCATTAAATTAAAAAAACTAATCTGATTTTTGCAAAGCAGAGATGCTTTACTCCATGTCAAACAGGAGCTGGCTTGGTTGGATGCAGAATATGCTCCAGTATGTTCTATAATTATCTCATAACTTCATTTGCCTATCAGGAAGGTATTTATCTGAGGAAACATGGGAACTTTTAAAGCCCTTCTCATTCTGTCAGGATGAATCTTAAGGTGTGGCAGGAAGACACCTGGTAGTGTAAGTTCATGTTTTAGCTTGTATGAACATCTGTGATGGAAACACAACCATCGTACTGTTCAGAACTCTTCGTCTCAGTGCTCTCCAGTTAATGCCACAGAGGGAGATTTGTCTGTTCTCAGGAGGGGAAACAAAAGTCCCCCTGCAAACAGTAACCTCCTCTTTGCTTTTCATACTTTTGCAATATCTGCTTTTTAACATACCTTGAAGAAGAGAAGCTTTCATTTCTCTGTGTCAGAAAGCCCTTTGTTATTGTGCCACAAATAGGTTTGGATAAGTTGATTTCACTTAGACTGGATCATCAGTTCCACAGTACTGCTTTCTGCTTGGAAACAAATTACTCCTAGAATTTAATTTCTTCTTCTTTGTCTCATACGAAGGATTATATACAATTAAATAGGCGAGTGGAAATGCAGCGATGACAGCAAAGTAGCTTGTGTCACTAGGTGAGATTTTTTGATAGGAACATTGTGGGTTTTTTTGTTTTCTCTTTAAACATTCTATCTTAAGGTTAAAAGATAAAAAAGATGGAACAGGATTTTATTCCCTCCTGGATGAAATGTAGAATTGTGAAATAGAATCAAATGTTTTGCCACAGAAGAATTCTGAGAAAGCTGCCGCTATCAACTTTAAATATGGTTAAAGAGCAGATAAAGAGCCTTTAATGTGGTCAGTTAGAAACTATTTTTAAAATACTTCTTTTTCAGATGGGATGGAACTGTTAAGTGTAATATAACCAAATTATCTAATCTCTGTTTTTAATTCTTTTGTAGCCAGAGTTGGGAAGACATCGCTAATTATGTCTCTTGTCAGTGAAGAATTTCCAGAAGAGGTAGAGCGTCCTCCTTTGTTTTCTTCATATTATTTTACTTTTTGCAGAGAGCAAGATAACGGCTCTGCTTTAAAACAATGCTCTCTGTACAACAAAAAGTCTGAAACTTCAGTGGTGACTTCTGAAAAGTGCTGTAGGTTGGTTCAAATGCATCTCTTTGTGATGATTAGGAAATTAAATTTGATCTAAGTTGCTTTCTTGTTTTTCAAATGCCCAATAAAGGTTTTTTTAATACCTGAGAAATGTTAGTTTTCATCAGCATTTGAATTTGGCCATAACTTGTGGCGTGTGCTGGTTTGGTTTGTTATATTTAAAGAGAAGAATAAGTGAGTAGAAGAATGAATGAGAATGGGGAAGTAAAAAGTTGGTGTATCGTTTACACTTAGCCATTTTTTTTGTAACTACACAACGTATTGCATTTATTTCTATTTTTGAAGAATGTTTTCCCAGCTTTGGTGGAGTGCAACCAGAAAACTTCCTTCCAAAATAAAAGTAAAACTACTCCTAGATTTTATTACTTTATAAAAAAGCAGCACTCAGTTCTCTTTACCACGAAAAGAACTGCAATTGCTCTGAACAGTTGAGCTGTTTACATATAAACTTGAATGTTTATTTCTTCTGATCACAAGTCTTAAAATAGACATCATGTGCTGTTCTTTGAAACTATGCAGTGTGTTTAATGCAAATCATTACGTTACCACAGTTCATGAGTCAAGATCAGATTGTTTACATAGCTGAATGTAGTTCCCAAGCTTGCAGGTTAAAAAGAGCTCTAGCTTCTGTTTGTTCTTAAAATGTTCAGGGAGCCATTCTTTGGCAGGCTGCTTGTAATTGTGTTATAGCCCTCTTCCCAACTTTCTTCTGTGTAGTTTAGTTATGTTTTTCTGTTGAGAGAAAAGCATCACTTACATAAAACATGACATCTGCCTTATCCAGTAGCAGACCATGAAGGAGCAAGGAAGTAGCACTGAGTTTCAAACATCACAAAAATCCACGTGCTTGCACTACAAACAGAGTCTTAAAGATGACTAATTGTCAGGAGTATGGTTGTATTCCACTGTCCTAGCAATCTGAAGTTTTCTAAAGGCTTTTTCTTGCTGTTTCTTTACAACCCAAGGTTCCACCACGTGCTGAAGAAATCACCATTCCAGCTGATGTCACCCCTGAAAGAGTGCCAACACACATAGTGGATTATTCGGGTAAAAACCATGCAGTACAGTTAGAGTTGGTATGGAATTGACCTCAGTGGCCTGTCAGCAGTCAAACTGCTATGGGACCAGATGTAAGTGTAGGAAAAGACTAGATTAAAATGGCAACTGATGAGATAAAACTACGTCAGATGATGATGGCTTCCCTGCTTGCTCTCAGTGAAGATGTTCATTGTCTCCACAATAAAATTAATGTGTTGTGTGTTGTGGTAGAGGTAGCACAGGTGGTGCTGCTGGTGATCGTAGGGGATGCAAACTGACTCATTCCAGAGAGAACCTGTCTTCAAATGTCAGGATTCCTCTTTAAAGTACCTGCTGAGAAGCCTCTTGTGCGACAGGCCATTTCTGCCTCATGAGTTAGTGGATCTTTTTCATTATTGTTATGGTAGAATCAATTCTTAGTGCATTTTATAAAAAGCCATTTAAACAACAGGACCATCTAATGAGCATTGTGAAATTAGTGTTAATGATCATCTTGTTCTGTTGAATTGCAGAAGCAGAACAAAATGATGAACAACTCTATCATGAAATCTCACAGGTGAGTGTATTTTAATGTTCAGTAAAAAATCTGCTTTCAAAGGAATGTTTTCCATTTAATTTTTCTACTGTTAGAAAAATTCTCTTGCTATTTCTTGGCATTTCATTTATTATTGTTTGGAGCCTTGAGTTACATCAACCTCTGCTCCAAGTGAGAAGGGGGGGTACAACCTCTGCTTTGGGGAATTGAGCTTAAGCTTTGCACTTCCAAGGGACAGGTCAGAGCTGAAATAGCTCTTAATCAGGAATCCAAGGAATTCACAAGTTGTCTTTTTCTCTTTTGTTTCCTTTACTTCAAGAGTTTTCAACTATTGTTTGGGCCATAAATTCCATAGGCGAGTCAGAGATACAGCTTTTGACCAGTGTTGGAAGTGCTCTTTTTCTTTGTCATGTTCTTAATCTTTGTTTCTCCAAAAAATTCTTAGCAGTGAATTTCCATATGTTTTCTTCATTTCAGGCCAACGTGATTTGTATAGTATATGCTGTTAACAACAAGAATTCCATTGATAAGGTATGCTAACACATTTTATCTAATTATTGGTTGATACGAGTGTTAATTTTTAGGCACGGTGAAAGCTGTGTTAGGCATTTAAAATGCATAAGAGGTCAGGTTGTTAATAAAATACACTTGTGCATTCGTTTGCTTCTGGCCCGTTTCATTATGTGGGTTTTCAGTCCTTTCAGTCATCAAAATTGCTCATTAAGCAACTCCAGGTTTTATTCCTTTTTTTTTTTTTTTGTGAGTAAATGTGTGACCTCTTGGAAAGAGGTAGCATTTATAGTCAACTCTGTGCACAGCTCAGTCTGATGAAATTTAAACCTGTATTTTTTGTGTCTTTTTTTAACCCCACTTCAGGTAACAAGTCGATGGATTCCTCTCATCAATGAAAGGACAGATAAAGATAGCAGGTGCATAAATAAAGATAAGAAGTGTGAATTAGGCTTCACAGCGATGGGTATCAGTGGACAGTGTTGAGGATGTTAATTAAGAAAATCAAATACTAAACTTAAAAGTTGATGTAAGAAGTTCAAGCAACAAGGGATTTAAAGTATGTAGGTCTGTTGTACATTTCAGCAAAGCTATTTATTTTGAGTTGCATTGGCAGCTTTTACCAGGTGTGTCTATGTTTGCAAAGATGTAACTTGTTTTGACTGCATGGTCTGTAAATGTTTTCTACTGATGCTGTTTATTGTAATATGGCTTGTGTTTAACAGTGTGGGGTACATTTCTGTTTGATTGTATTTCAGATTAATTTACTGCTGTCATCTCATTTTGCCTACTGGCTGTCAGTGCTACTTAGTTACATCATGAAAGTAGTACAATGGCTTCTGGTGGGAGGAAGAATGTTAAATTAAGATAGATATTTCTATCTCTCTGTTTTTAAAGCTCTTAATCCTTTTTTTTTTCTTTTCAGGCTGCCTCTTATATTAGTTGGAAACAAGTCTGATCTAGTGGAGTACAGCAGTATGGAAACTATTCTTCCCATTATGAATCAATATACAGAGATAGAAACATGTGTAGAGGTATGTAATCCTATATTAGAAAGAGTACCAAAAAATACCTTCTTGCCAAACATACATGGCAGCATGTAATAGAAATAGTGATTTTGTTGTTGTTGATCAAAATACTTATTTCAAATAGAATTATTCTTCTCACAGTGAGTTTGTGTGCTCTTTGTTTTTTTTGAGAAAAAGATTCTGCTTTTGATTAATTAAATTAAATGCTCTAATATTTAGAGCCTTTTCAGATCTTTTCTTTAAGAAAGTGTTTTAAAAACAGCATTAAGCCAGCAACATATTTGCTAAGTATTAAAATGGAATGCAGATCTTAGGATATGTTTGGGGCTTTTTTTTATATTAAGTGGATACAACTTTTTTTTTTACTGATATGACATGGTCAGTATTAATTACTGAACATACACAGGGGCTGGGTGATGGTTTTTGAAAACTGCAGTGTACTGCAAGAGGAGGCCAGAACTTTACAAGCTTGATTCTTACGTAGGCTTCAACACAGATCACATAGTCAAAAACTATCAAATAAATCTTAAGAATTTCTCTTTCAGTGTTCAGCTAAAAACTTGAAGAATATATCTGAACTATTCTATTACGCACAGAAAGCTGTTCTGCATCCTACAGGTCCTCTTTATTGCCCAGAGGAGAAAGAGGTATTTATACATATTTTTAAAAATAAGTAATGTGGGGGAAAAAAGATGAGTACTGTTTTATTCTTCTCAGTGAATTTTGAAGTTTTTTGTGTTTTGTCTTCCCTTTCTCTTGCTTGTCCTCCCCCAAATATCAGATATTGGATTCCAGAACCTGGTTACTGCTTTGTGTTGTATTAATTCCATCCTCTTTCTTTCTTTAAAACAAAGAGGACAGGTTTTTGTTTTCCATCTGAGCTGATCAGTAAAATGATAAGCTTTGGTTATAGGATAAGTTTTAAGTCAAAAGTAATGGTGAAAAAAATCATGCATTCAGTTCATTTCTCCTTTAGACCTTTGTTACACAATAATTCCATTTGTTTCAGGGAATGTGCTCCAGTCTTACCCTGATTTAAGGGAAGGAAGGTTTCTGAGCATCTTGTGAGGCTTTGGCAAAAGGGATCAAAAACAAGTGATGTGGCTGTTTGAAAATACTGTAGGTAGTTAGCATATTATGGAGGAGTATGGTTGTTTTTTGTTCTTTCTTTTAACACATTAATTTCATGATCAATTATATATAAGCTACGAACTTAATCCCCACCCTCTTGCATTACTGGGCAGTAGGAAAGTTGTCTCAGTCATAAATTCTTTGTTGAGAATGAAAGAATAACTCTTTTGATTTCTTCCATCAGAATCATCTGTATGTGTTAGTAATGTGATAAAATTGTGCTGAAATATTTTTGGTTTTTGAAAACCAATCTCTATGCAATATCTGTGACCTCTATGAAGAGAAGAGTCCATCATCACACTAGTTGCTGGGAGAGAATTACCACTGTTTTCCTTCACATGGAAGGTATCCCAGCAGTTCTTCTGTCATAGTGGCAGTCCATATCATCAGTGCTTTGCCTGGTAGATTAATAAACTCTGAAGTTCTACAGTGTTTGTTGTCTGAAGCTTTCTGAAGTCTTAGTTGAAATGATGAACATAGATATTTTGCTCAATTAGAAAGAGTAGGCTGTAGTTCTAGAGCTGTTTGCTTTTGCAGGGCACTGGGATAGCCAGGCCTTTCTGCACACACACACACAAAAAGAAGAAAGAAAATCCACCACTGTTAAAGCTTTCTGTAGCAGTAGAACTGAACTTAAAGAACTGTTAGTGTTTTTAAATTAACTGTTGCCACCTTCAGCTTGAATAATTGAATATGAAGACATTTATTGTGCAATGACTGCTTTAAATTTTTGCATATTAATTCTTTAGGTCACAGTTTTGTTTCCTCTTATTTTTGTGCCTGTGTGTTTGAATGTCTAATTAAAAAAAAAAAATAGATTGAAGGCTAGTATTTATTTTAATGTATTTGAGCTGCCTGGGGTCATTCAGTGTACTTTTTATATACTGAACTTTGCTTTATTCCTTAGATGAAACCTGCCTGTATTAAAGCACTCACTCGCATTTTTAGAATCTCTGATCAGGATAACGATGGTACTCTCAATGATGCAGAGCTCAACTTCTTTCAGGTGACTGTTTTGCTTTTTCTCTCACTGTGCTTAATGATTGAACTCTGATAATGCCAGAAAAGCAAACATTTATTTTTCAGGGAACAGCAGTGAAGTGAACCACAAGGAAATCAAACCTGAAAATTAGAAATCTTGGGTCTGGCATAAAAGAGCATATTTATGAAAATTGAAATAGTCTTGATTTTATTTCTAACCATAGTTCAAGCTTTAGTTCTATAGCAAAAAAACAAAAAACAAAAAACAACCCACAACTATTTAAATGTGCTTGTATTTAAAAACAAAATGTGAAGTGTTTCTTTTCCTTTATTTTCACTAATTGGGTTGCATTATCCTAGCTTATCAGAACTTTTAAAGCTGCATTTTACACTGGACATGATGTTTGACTGGCTTAGTAGCTATGGTCCTAACATGTTCTTTTGGTTTTTGTTAGAGAATTTGTTTTAATACACCATTGGCTCCTCAAGCTTTGGAAGATGTAAAGAATGTAGTTAGGAAAAACGTCAGCGATGGAGTTGCTGATAATGGATTAACCTTAAAAGGTAAGCCTTACTTAGCTGTGGGCAAGTGTCTTCTGGTAAAGTTGACAGTCATCTAATGTAAAAATAAAAACAAAAAACAAACAAAACAAAACAAAAAACAAGCAAGTCTTTGGGAATATGATCTTTTCTTTTAGGAAAGGGCTGAGAGTCTCAGTATGATGTCAAAAAGTGATTAAACTCTGGAATCATGGACATGGATAAGAATATGGTTTCTTCTTGTTACAGAAGTTCAGAATCTGAACTCCAAAATGACGATAGTGATTCAAAGGAGATATTCTCCTACATAAGGAGATATTCTCCTACATAATTCCAGGCTTACTGGTTGCAATGGTTGTCAGCAAGGTGTGGTTTGTCAGAATTTTAAACACTGCGTTATACAGATTTGCTCAGAGCATATGGCAGAAATGAAAGGAGAAAAAATGTTTTCTGAGCATCGTTTTGTCCCCTTTGCTTGTGGAGCTTACGTGTGATAGAACTAGTGAGAAATTTCCAAGAGAGGGAATCCTAAGGCATAGCCTTACTAAGCAGTGAAATCTCAGCATTCGTTAAGCTCTGGAAAGTGCAAAGCCAAAATCCTACTCATTTTTTCTGTGTGTGTAGGAAAATTAAAGACACTCTTCCATGAAGCTGCTTTCCAAGCTTCCTGCTAAGTGTGTTACTGTTTTGAACTCTTGAAAATATCATGGTTTTTATTTTTATACAGCTAAGTTATTCTGAAATGCTGGTACTGAAAGGCCAAACAGCAACGGGAAACTAAGTGTATTATTTTAAGTAAAAAATTGTTTGAAAAATACTTTTTAAAGTATTACAGATTGTGAGCCCACAATCTGTAACAGATCATTATGTAATATTACACGTTTGGTTTAAAGTCAAATGTGTATTCCTTGTTTCAGTCTGTTACTGTGAAACTACCTCGAGCAGATGAATTTTTGTCATTTGATTTTAGGTTTTCTTTTTCTACACACACTTTTCATTCAGCGAGGAAGGCATGAAACAACATGGACTGTTCTGCGTCGCTTTGGTTATGATGATGACTTAGAGCTTACCCCAGAGTACTTGTTTCCTCTGTAAGTATCGCCTAGTTGAGCTCTCTTTAGCTTATGCACATTTAATTTATGCTGCTCTGTGGTTGTAGTGTTGTCTTATTGTTACATTAATGATCGTTCTTAGTTTATGACCTATCAGCTAGAATCTACGTATGAAAATTACAGAGGAAGAGCTCCTGTCTTAGAGTGCCAAATTGTGTACTGCCATCTCTGTTTTCTTAACGGCAGCCTCCTCCCCATTCAACACTGACTGAATATAGTGTAATATGAATACAGCCACTCATAGAATTCCTAAAACAAAAAAAGTATGGACCTTTGATCTCCTTGGAGATTATGAAAACCAAATGAGAGGTCAAATGCCAAATGCTTCAATTGTGGAATTTGTTGTCTCGAATTACAGCATCCTGTATGTTGCAGACTTAACACTTCTTGTTTTTCTTTTTGGTAAATAGGCTAAGAATTCCTCCAGACTGCACAACAGAATTAAATCATCATGCATACTTGTTTCTTCAAAGCATTTTTGATAAGCATGATTTGGTAAGCTTCTAATTTGAGTGTGTATATACTTACTTTGCTAGCAGTTTTGCTAACAGAAAGCATGTTTTTGTCATTTCATTCAGAAACTGTCTGTGGATAAAGCCATGTAGTAAAAACTGGTGGTACAACCATTACCCTCAACTCAAATAACAGACTAAAGTTGTGCTTTGTTTTGTTTTTTAACTTCCTCATATATTTGGTCGTGTTTTAAATAAAAAAAATAACAGACATTGAGAGAGATAAAGCTCCATTGTTTTTGGGTTTTTTTTTTGTAGACCATTTATTGAACTTTGCAACTGTAGAGCAAAAATGTGTCACTTCAGATTAGGTGTGAATTAAGGATTTATTTATTTATGATACCTTGTTCTTGTTTTCAGGACAGAGATTGTGCTTTGTCTACTGATGAACTGAAAGATTTGTTCAAAGTCTTTCCTTATATGCCATGGGGGCCTGATGTTAACAACACTGTTTGTACAAATGAAAGGGGGTGGATTACCTACCAGGGGTTTCTCTCTCAGTGGACGTAAGTGTGCTCCATTGCATTTTGGTGGGTGAGAACTTGAGTATGACAAGATTGTTTCATTAGTTGATAGAATTGGATTTGTGGAATCTGTTTTGAAACTCCTTTTTGTTCCCTCTGCAAGACTGACCACGTACTTGGATGTACAGCGTTGCCTGGAGTACCTGGGCTACTTAGGCTACTCGATACTTGCAGAACAAGAATCTCAAGCATCAGCAATTACAGGTAATTAAAAAGAAATAGATTTATTTCAATTTAGGAATTTAAACTTAAGAAATCTGCCCAAGAATAAATTTCTTAAATAAGTATCTGTCTTCTTCCACTCCTTTAATTTCTGCAAAAGTCTTGATTTAATATTTTTGAGAAATAACATTTTGTGTGCATTGTGATGTAAATAGACAATTAGTTCATGTGTTTATATTTACATTACATTACATACATTACATACATTTACATTAATATGCATCTTTTGAAAAATATTTGGTTATTTTCTTCCAAAAGTAACAAGAGATAAAAAGATAGATCTCCAGAAAAAACAGACTCAGAGAAATGTGTTCCGATGCAATGTTGTTGGAATGAAGGGCTGTGGGAAAAGTGGAGTTCTTCAAGCTCTTCTTGGAAGAAATCTAATGGTAAGAAGGCTCTTGCTCATACTCATATGCAGATGTCTTTGAGTTTATTTTAGACAACATTAGAATTGTACTCATTGCTACTGAATTTGGAGGTTGAATTTTTGTTAAGAGTAGCAAATAGACAAATGGATATTGCATATTTACTTGTATATCTTGGATTAATAATAAATAAAAATAAACCATAGGTAATCATAATATTCATTCATAATAATTGGAGTAAAACAGCTGTTCAAATCTACTTGGATGGCATAAGTTGCTGTGATCTAACATGAAATTCTGCATTTTTAGAGACAGAGGCAAATACGTGCAGAGCACAAATCTTACTACGCCATAAACACAGTCTATGTGTATGGACAAGAAAAATACTTGCTGGTAAGATTGCTTCATTGTTGCTTACATGAGACTTGTTAACCTTAAAATTCAGTGAACTATTAAAAAGCCTTCTGCAGACAAATAGAAGGAATGTCTGTCATAATGTCTCTTCTTTCTAAATGTCAACGCTTCATTAAGCCATCCTACCTGCCTAGAAAGCACACATCTGTCAGGTGGGTTGATTAGAATGGCCATAGTTGATCTTCAGTGGCTGAAATACTTTCTTCAATGGCTTACTCCACTGTAGTTTTCCTTTATGATACAATATCTTCCGTTGGTTTCCCAGCTCCCAGTCCTCTGCTCTGTGATTTTCCTCTGTAGAATGAATGCCTTCTTTTTGGTGTGTGTTTAGAAGTAAATGTAACTTTTCCTGTTGAGACTGTGATCACCTGTAGATGTTAACAGTTCACATATGTTGGCTGTGTTGATTAATTTCTCTTAATTGTTTTTCATTAATTCTGCCTATTGTCAGTCCATTAGTTCTAAGGATGCATAACAATGAGTTGTAACAAGAAAAAATAAAGTTATAAAGTTCCTTTAAGTACGTGATAACAAAGCTTTTCTCCCTTTCCTACGGTCTGTTTTTCCAGCTACATGATGTCAGTGACTCAGAATTTTTGACTGATGCTGAGACCGTGTGTGACGTTGTCTGCCTGGTATATGATGTCAGTAACCCTAAGTCCTTTGAGTACTGTGTCAGGATTTTTAAGGTTTGTGTATTTTTTTTAATGTATATGTAAAAGAAAAAAAATATATATATGTATGTGTGTGTGTATGTGTGTATATATATACATATATATATATATATACACACTTTGTCAGTGTGTGTGTGCCACACACACACATAGATATAAACTATCAATTACTGGCCCATACATCAAGCTCCAGTGTTTACAATTCCTTTTGTTTATGAGTACAGGTTATATATGGCTGATGCACTAAAAAAGCCATTTTGCAATTTATATAAAAGTAAGACCTATATAAAATATTCTGCTTCTAGAATTGTCTGACTGGAGTGCAGTGCATATATATTAATATGCTACAACCAGTAACACTTTGGCTTTTCCAGATTGTACATATCGTGTAATGTCTCTTTCACTTTTTCTTCAACTTTGCAGCAACACTTCATGGATAGCAGAATACCGTGCTTAGTGGTAGCTGCAAAGTCTGACTTGCATGAAGTTAGACAAGAATATAGTATTTCTCCTGCTGAATTCTGCAAAAAACACAAAATGCCTCCACCTCAAGCCTTTACCTGTAATACTGTTGATATGCCGAGTAAGGATATCTTTGTTAAACTGACAACTATGGCAATGTATCCGTAAGTACTCGAACCACTGTGTTTTTCACACTGCATGAACCATGCACTGTAGCACTGCATGCCACTGTTAACCATGAGGATGGAACTGCCTCACTGAGGTTTAGCAACAGAGAGAGACAGAAGTGACTTGTGTTTACCTTCCAGTGATTTCAGATGGAGAAAGTTGGTATCAATCCAACAGATGAAACAGTGCCAGCTGTTGTGTAAGCTATTTTTTAAAGACTACACTAATTTATTCAGCTCGTGTTACTTTTTAGGCATATCTGTTCAATTAATGTGTAGAGTTCTGTTGCGAAGGCATCACTTTGTATCTCATTATTCATATCTTGATGTTTTAAGATAATTGTATACAAGTTGTACTGTCACTTTTGCAAATAGTTCAACTTCACAGTTGATTAACATTAATGACACTCTAAACAACAACAGTTTCCCCCAAAGCAGTGCTTGAAGCTTTTTGTTTTGAGGGTGCTTACTGTTTGCTTTGTGAATCTGACAGATCTTAGATATTTCTTTTTTAATAAAACTTCTGTATAAAGGTTTCAGATGCTATATTTTTAAGCTTGCATTCTTTTTCATGGCATATCTCACTGTTGCTAAGCTTAGTTTGCATCTCTTTATTTTTTTGGTGGGTGGAACTTTTAATATAGTGATGAGCTAAATAAATATTACAGCAGATGGAGTCTAGTATGACAGCTGACATTTGCTTTAAAGTAAATAGAACTAATGTCACTTTCACCCAAGATCTAGGATTTTTTAAAGTTATATATTTGAAACCAAATCTAATTAGATTTGTAAAATTTTAATTTAGTTTTTGTTCTCTTATTTTGTTATGCTGGAGTACTGGAAACCACAAAAAGCATAGCACCAACCAAATGTTGTCTCAATATTCCTGCTTCTCCCTTAGTTCTGAAGCATGTGTGTTTGTTAGGGTGGGAAAAGTAGAGGTTGCTGTCACTGTCAAGTGTGCATTCAAACCGATAGAAAATGTGGCTTACTTTCCTTTGAAAAAGGGGTGTTATCTATTGCTGTGCAGAGGTACTCAGCCTTTAGATGTTTTCCTTACAAACGTAAATAAATTCAGCAGATGTTTTCATTCATATTTGTGCTTCCTACTAAGAGCTACGTGTGGTGGTAATGCTAAAATGTACAACATGTAGAACATCTAGCCCTAAAATTCTGCACAGCTGTAGTGTTACCCTCGCTTCCCCAGTGTATTTTTTTCTCCTCTCCTTACTCATTCAAATGTACCTTTTATTCCTGAATCTCTCTTGTGGCACAGTCCTAATGTGCACCTGATTATGTGAGCAAGATTTCAACTCCTGTCCTTCTGTGTGTTTTCGCAGCCATGCCCGGTTACGCTGTATGTGCGCCTGCAACAGGTGTACATTTTGCATCTGTCAGAACTTCCTCAACTCAGACTTGCTGCAATCTGTAAAGAACAAACTCTTCACTGCAGTTCTTAACAGGTCCTTAACTTTATTTATTAGGTACCAGGTGTGCTCTTAAAAGGTTTTTCTTGCTTTTTTTTTTTTTTTTTTTTTTTTTAAAAGCAGTTGGTAACCTGTGCTACAGATTTCTCACTCCATATCCACTGAGTAGGCAGGTACTATTTTAGTAACTGTCATAAAATTGTCAAGCTTTGATCTATTTAACTGAAGGGTGCTTTTGGTCCTTTTGAGCTCAGTCCATTGATTTCTATGAAACATTACCAACTTGGTGGTCAACTCAGGCACTCTGATTACAAAAATGCAGTGGAGGAATTGGAACGGTGTTTTTCAGGGAGCTGGTAATGGACAACAAGTAATGCATATACATCTCTGTAATGTCTCACATGAGGCTTTATAGGTTTGTTTAGTATTGATCTGAGTTAGTACCTCTTATCAATTATAAAATTACTTTCATTTAAATAGCGTAGGAAAAGGCACAGCTTGACTGTAGCAACACTGTATAACATATGACATGTTTATAACTGCTAGTTTGCTATTTTTGGGAGCTGATAGAATTTCTGTGTGTATGTTATGTCTGGTTTATATAGAGTGGGTAAGTTGTGTAAAAATCTGGAGCTTTGAACATCCAATTCCTTTGAATAAAATGCAATATGTAAGAAATGGCAAACAGTTAACCATTTCCATTTGCAGATATTTTGGAAAAAGCAAAGGGTAAAAAGGACTGGTTTTCAGCATTGAAAACAGTGCTATATCTTGTCTTGTGTACTGCACACTTACAAAACACCTTGCTTTTGACACGTGATGTACTAACAGCTCAGCACTTGTCACCTTGACCCAGCAGATGGGAGTTCAAACCAAACAATTGTTGTGTTCGCTGGAGTCACAGATTGTGATAAACATGTTTATGTGAAGGCCTTGCTTACAACATGCTGATGTATCCTCAGTAGATCTGGTCTGTATTACTTCTCGTTACTGGTTTTAGATGTAGATCCTCCGAATAAAAGTGGGTGTTTCCTTCAGAATGCAAATTACATGTACATAGTAGGCCTAACAGTGTGTCCATTTACAGTATGAGTACCTTTGTGAAATACTGCTTTAATCTGAGATGCATGTTGTAACCACAGAGGGAGAATTTAGAGAAGAGGGAAAAGTTCATTAGCTCAGGAAAATATGATGAATATAAGTGAAACTCCTCATACTGCATCTCTATAGCTTAGGGTACAGCTCTGCCCTTAGCCAAAAATCCCTTACAAAATAAATCTCTTTGCAGATTATCAGTCTAAAACTTCATTCAGCAGTTACTGCTAGGAAATCCTAAGTCCTCGTAATGGAGGCTGAAGCCACCTATGTGTCCCATCCTTGCTTTTTGGAATGGTTATGGATTGCTGCGCTAATATTGTGGCATGTTTCTCTCTTGTGTGGGCTTGTTTGTGTTGTTTTGTTTCTTTGAGCTCTACATTAGGCACTGTACTTTGTTCCTCTGAGGCTGGGAGGCACTGAAACCTTTGTTTGAGAAGCCCTGGGATGCTGTTTTTCCTCACTTTGTCACTAAATAGTATGGAATAAATATATGAATCTACTACCAGCTAAAAGTCTGTAATTCAAGGTGAAGAGAATTCCTCACTGCTTCCTGCACTGATCCTACAGAAAGGAGGATTATTTCCCAGAATCTTTGTCTGCAGTCACTATGTTAGTTGCTGAGGTTTGTTTTCCACCAGGCTAATGTCTTTTTTCTACTTGCCTCCTAGTTACCTGATCAGGATTTCTCTCTTATGGAGGACATTGTGGCAGGTTATTCACCATTCATTGTGTAAACAACTGTATGTATAGGAAAGAATATATAGAAAGGAGCTGAGATAGGTGTGAACAACAAGGAATGACCTCTAACTGTAAACCTGGGAGGGTTAAGGTAGTTTTCTTCTTTAGAAATGTTAACTTTTTAGAAGCATTCTAATGATTTTTCGCTAGAGAAAGCATTTGAATCAAGCAGGATTGTCTGATGTAGCTGATTCATATGACTTCTTAAACTTTGCTCTTACAGATATTTACCATTAGGTCAGGAAATTCAGCAAAGGTTAGGTGAAAAATGGGCAAAAGAGGCTCCTCAAAAGTTATTCTGATCTCCTCCTATTCTGAGGCTCTAGGTAGTAGAAGTAGGTAATGTGAAATCTTTACAGTTAGATTCCTTCCTGTATTGTTGCTAAGTAGTGCTTAAACACTGTTCCCAAAGCAAAAATATAGTAGTGCATTAGAACATTCCCAGTTAGAGGAAGAATGAATGCAGCTGAAAAAGCTGTTCGTGCCCACCTTTAGTTTCTCTTTTGTGGACAAACTTCCAAGATTCTCCTGAGGCCTTATAGGCAAGTTGAACAAACATGGATGTTCAGTTTGGAGGTGCTTGCTCTGCTGAAACAGGATTGTTGGTTTGAACTACCCAGGATCACACTTCATTGCTGCTTTGAGGAAGAAAGCACTGCATTCAGAGTGCTGTACGTGCGTGCATGAGACTTGTGACTGCTCTGGTATTTTTGTATTTTTGTTCTTTCCTTTAGGTGTTCATTGTATTTGGCTGGCTGGCACTTAATCTTTCCTTCCTACCTTGTTTTTTAAAAGCAAGGCTTCTGTGCATGTCATTCTGACCCCTTCTTTAATTACCAGCTTTTTTTTTTTTTTTGCTTCTTTTTTCCATTCCCTAACTCCAGAGCATGGATTTTGTGTGGGTTTTTTTTCTGCTCTCTTGGTTTGAAGTCCTTGCTGCATTTTACTCGTATATCAGTGATGTTTTTCTGCTGACTTCATTTCAAAATAATTGTTACACATGATAATTGTGTTGTTCAGTGAGGGAGACTTCTCAGACCGTTTTATTTTCTTCCTTTTAAAGTTTTTAAATACTATGAAATGAAAGCAATGTTGTACTTCCATATAAAAGCATAATTGATTTGGGAATTGTAAGATTTCTATAAAAACCTTCCTTCTGTAAAATGAAACGCAAGGCAATAGCCCCATTTCTTTATAACAGTGGGAAAGCTGTAAGAATATAACCCAGGTTTTATTTTTCAGTATGCATACTATGAGCAGATAACTGGTTCAAACTGTAGGAACCTATCACCATTCAACCTGATTGCAGACATCTGTCCCTTCACCCTGTCCCTAAAATCAGGAGAATATAACAATATTTTCTCACCTCTGCTCTTCCTTCTCTCAGCTGTTCAGTACACCATACTCAGAGCTTTGCAGAGCTGTGTCCTCTGCTCCTTTCCAAATAGGACATATTAAATGGACATTTTGCATTCTTTTTAGGTGCTGTATATGATAAGATGTGCTTGGCACTTCTCACGTGTTACTTAACTAATGCATGGGGGAAACTAACTGCTGGCATTAGGAAAGTAAATGCCTGAAGGGAAGCTGCAGCAGCTTGTATATGTTGTGTAATGTTTTTGGAGTTTAGTTGCTTATTTTTATACTTAGAACCTACATTCTGTCAGAGCACATTGCTGCTACTTGCTGACTGCATTAACTTGCTTATACTTCTGATGTGACTAGCCATGTGACTTGTATGTTGGCCTCACCACTGTGCTTTTAAAATGCATTTGTAGTTCATATGGAAATGTTCTTGAATTTAAATAGTTAAGATTAAACCTCCCCAGACTTGGGATTCTTCTGCTGACGTGGGGAGAAGTGCTGGCATTGGCCCAGAACTCTCTGGTTTTCTGTGTTAACCATGAAAAGCATGCTCAGTTACCTGCTTGGTCAGTGCATGCTGCAGACTGCTTGAGTTATTGAAGCCTCTGGAAAGAAGGACTGGATGGATCTCCAAGATCCCATTCAACAGCTTACTTAACCCTTTCCAAAGGGCTGAGTGAAAATGTCATCTTTTTCCAAAATGTGCACTAAAATCTGAATCTTCTGACAGAGGCACAGGCTCCATGTTTAGACTCCCTTTATATATAGCAATATTTGTGTGATGACGTACATGCACGTCTGCTTTAAAAGTTTGAAAGCTGATTCCTCATCATCAAGAATTTTGAATACAACCTCGATGATGGAGCCCTAACTACTGCACATTCACAAGTGTTTATTTTTCCTCTGGGGAGGATAATTTTTCTAGTTTTGAGCTAGTGAAAGTGTCAGATGTCTTTTATTAGCAAGGCAGCAATAATTTCTACCACTGGTGAAAATTCTTGCCACAAACACAACTACTGAAATAAAATGTATTTACAGTATTTACTGAAGAGGCAGGATTTTCATGAATTGAGCAATGTTTGTGCATTACAGATGCATTCAAACCAGAGAACCTGGGCCCAAAACAACCGTCAGTCTTTTTAAGTATTTCAGATTTCTTTTCTTACTGTAAGTTGATCGGTATTAGGGATTGATGTTGCAAAAATGGAATTTATTCTCAGAAACACTGAAGTAAGAAATTGGATTTATTTTTGGAGGGGTGAAGAACTGAATTTTAGTATATTTGGACCTTCAGCACTTGGGCTGAGATGTTCAGAAGGCTCAAACTGGCAAATCCCTGCCTTGATTTAGTTTCTTCCTTTAAATGAAAGAATCTGTAACTTGGAGAAGGGATCAGGGTCAATTTACTCTCCCTTTAGAAGAGGATTTTATAATGACTGATAATACATTAATTGTTTCTGAAAGGATGAAATATACTCAGCAAGTTAAATGTGGACATGTGCAGAAGTCAAAACAAATCAGAGATAGGAATCAGAAAATCTGGATATGAGTATTTTACAGGGCAATGCAAAAGCACTCGTGTGCACTTTAAACAGTGGTGTGCACTGCCAAGGGGGTGTTTTTATAAACAGTTGGGCATTTGAATTAAGCAAAGTGATCTTGGGGATCGTGGCACAAATATCCTGAGCTTGTCATGTAACCTGTTAACATCCTGTCACGTGCAAATGACTTATTTTACATGAGTTTTTATAAATTACAAATTGAGTTGTATAGTCTTTTATTAAAAAGAAAAAAGAAAAAAAAAAAAAAAAAGCACAGATGCCAAAGCTGTTGATAGTGACAAAATACAGTCTTGATTTGAATTATCAACAGTAATGAGACCATCAGTCGTAGGGCTGATGTGTTAAGACTCATTCCGTAGAGCACAGCAGCTCTCATTCGTGCATATCTTGTGGGTACGTGCAAGTTGACGCTTTGGGGATGGAGTAGGAAGAGATTTGGTCTCTTGAACAGTTTTCCTTGTCCTTAAAGCAGTAGCATTTTCTTACTGAAAGTCGTGCATTTTAATTTGCTCCTCAAAAAGTACAAAGCCATTTATTTATTTCTGTTTTCTCCCAAGCAGTCAGTTTTTAACAGCTGCACGAGAATCAGAAGTTAGATGGGTAAAAATGATGAATTCTTTGGGCTTTGACATTTGCTCTTATTTGAGATACTTACTAATGTTGAGCCACACTGTGAACTGCAAACTGTGCATGTGTGTAAAAAGGTTAAGACCCCACATAGATGAGTTGGGTGCCATGCTGTTAGCAGACGAGGAGAGCAGTATTATGCATCAGGTGCACGCCGTCAGCTTTGTAGAAGATTCCATCTTCATGGAGTCATCTCTTGGTCCACGTTTGCTTGAAGACAGGTAACAGCAGCCAAACCGAGGTGACCTTGCCATTGCCTTTTCCCTTTCTTTCCCTCAGCAGTCTACTTGACACGTAGTTTGCAGAGAGTTTGTCAAAAGCAGCTGTAGAACTAATGCTTGTAGGAATTCCTGAATCTGATTCCATAACCCAGCAAGATGTTTTTAACTGAGATCAGTAATCTTTAGCCAACAACTGTTTTGCTGTTAATGCACCAGAGAATTTGTGCCTGTTCTTTAGCTTGTGTTATTACAGCACACGGATTACCTGGATGGCTTATATTGCTTCTGCAAGTGTCTACTAAATACTATCCTGAACTGGTTTTGTGTATTTTGATAGTAAGTGCAGTTCCTGCTTTACTAAACAGCTTCTCAATGACAGCTCTGCAGTTCACACTACATCAACTTCCTTGTGCACTGTGTGTGCTTAGGATCCCTGCACAATCCTGTATGCTCCTTGGACTTTGATATTCCTGCAGTTTTCACTGAGTAACCTGTGATGATAAAAGCAGGCTAAAACAGATAGGCGAGTGAAGCTATTTTCTATCTGAAAAACAAACAAACTACTATTATTTAGGAACTTGTTGTGCTTTGAATTATAGCTTTATGATAACTTAAATGGTAGTTCCTGCTTTATGGTAAGCTGTCATACTTGAGACTACTTTGAGGATGCCTGGCAGTGTTTAACTGAGCATGCTCACAAACTCCGCAGCGTTTGGAGACTTGGGCCATTGGCTGTTTGCTGTCATGCAAAGTGTGGCTTTTTGTGTCATCTTCACACTGCTGTTGGATTTTGCCTTTTTTTGTTGACTCCATTGTCACTGCCTGTTTCACCAGCACAGTCTCTTAGCTTTCAGCTTGGTATTGGATGACTGTTTCTGTTGCCATTCTTGTGATTGTTTGGGAAGAAAGGGGTTTACAGACTGCCAGTTTTTTTGGTTCGAGCTTTTGGAAAAATATTACTTGCTACTTGTCAGTAACCTTCTATTGGGGGGAGTAACATAAGTAGATGTTGAACAGGACTGGAAAGTTTTGCAAGGAGAAGCAAAAAGTCTGCAAACTCGAATTTGAGTAAAGTTCTGTTTTGCAGCGATGGACTTTGTTCTCATTATGGATTATGATTTATTTGCTGACTGTTTTTATTTGCTGGGTGTTAGTTGGTGCTCTAAGATGGCTGCCTTCCCCATACTCACTGCTGATTAATGGCCTCCTCCTGTATCCACCCTCAGCTGTGTGAGCCCTGACTTTAGTAAGTTTACTCGTGTGATCATGGCTGCAGATCAAACCCTAAGCTTTAAAAGAGAAACAGAATGACTGCTAAAGTATACGCAGGGCAGAAGTGTAAGCTCCTTGCCTGTGACAAGTGTAGTGATGAATTTCCAAAAGCAGAGTTGCTTAGCACGACTTGGCTGATATTCTTGTCCTGCAAATAATTTGTGTTTTTTTTGTGTCAAATTTCAGGCACGTGACACAAGCGGACCTCAAGAGCTCCACGTTTTGGCTCCGAGCAAGTTTTGGTGCTACTGTCTTTGCATTTCTGGGTTTCGCTATGTACAAAGCATTAATAAAGCAGCGGTGATCTGAGAAGAAGCACATCTGGCCCTACCAAATGGAAATAAACTTTTATGTACATTCTGAATGCTTTAAATTCCGCTAGAAATATTTATATATGCAGAGTTACTTTATTAATATTTGTAATTCATGCATAAGATTATTTTAAATTATAGTTCTAACTGCAGTATTGCAAAATGGGGGGGTGGGGGGGAGGGAGGAATCACTTCTAAGCAGCCAGCTCCAGGGGCTTGACGGGTGAGGCCAAAAGGGAACTTGTAAATAACCTGTACATAGGAGAGCAGGACAGCATTGCTTCCCAAGGAGTTGTTCAGAATGCTGTTCTGAGGGCTTTCACCACAGTGACATCCTGCTGTATAGCTGAACTTCGTTTTCCATAGAGTAGGTTCAACTCGAGGATCATACTTCCTGAAGGATTGCTTATTTATTTCACTTTCATTTGAAGTGACTGCATCGTTTTGGACTCCAAACTCAATCAGAAATTGTGAATTTCTTTCTAACAGCCAACCTTCCCCCCTGTAATGTATTTCCAGAACGAGCCCTGGCCTTCGGTTTTGTATGCTGTATGACCAGCGCCATGCTTAGCACTCAAGTATTTCTTTTAAAAGGAAAAACGTAAACTTCAATGACTGCCAGACCAACTTCACATGCTGTGTGCAGCTGTTACTCATTTTCCACTACGCTGTGTTTTATATCCCTTATCAATCAGGTGAGAACATTTGTACATTATAAATGTTAATAACTCGAGAAGTGCTGCTGTTCAGTTTCTCACGGGTGTCAGTTGTACCTGACAACAGCTGTGCATCAGATAGAACCGAAATAGTACACAGTGCCTATCTGCTGTAGTCTCTTAGTTGCATGGTTCACAGTGCATTCTGTACCTGGCTAGAGTTACCTGTAGACACAGCTTTTCTAACAATCGAGTAAATATTAATTCCGCCCTCGTGACAAACTTATTTTTCCATTGCTGGCCTTTTCAACTATTTCAATAAAATAACTGTGTACTGTGTTGGCCTTGATCCTTTTTTTTCCCCTCCGCCCTGAAAAGTGACGCCTATAAAACCTCGCGCTGCGTCCTCGAGGCGTTTGTTCGGAGCGGCCGCCAGGGGGCGCCATGGGCCCGCGCAGCCGCGCCGCTCCGTGCCGGCACTGCGGGCTGAGCGAGCCTCGCGGAGCGGCGGGCGGGTGCGGAGCGCGGCGGGATTTCAGCCGCTCCTGAGGAAAAGCGCTGAGGCGATCTGTGCCACAGCGGCAGCGGCCGCGTCTGTTTTACGCTGTGATTCCCGAAATCCTCCCGGAAGGAGGCTGGTGGTGTCAGGACGGAAGCTCACAAGCACGTCTTTAAGGCGCCATCCTGAGGGAACTGTAAGAAATCCCGTTATCTTAAGTGAGTCCCTGAGCGTTGGTGCCGCTGGCGGCGCCGAGCAGCGAACGGCTCGGAGCTGAGCTCAGCCCCGCTCAGCGCCTGGCTCACACGGAAGGTGCAGGCATTGCACAGGACCCTGCCTGCAACTGGCAGAGCTTCGGGAACATTCTGAGCTGCGTGCAGAAGTGAAGAGGGACCGGAGGCAGAGCTGTGTGCGCCATTGGGCACGCTTTGTTTGCAACAGCCTGTCAACGTTTTCAAATTATTTTTTCCCCTTAAAACAAACTCCGTCTCCACTTCCTGTTCAACCTGCGACATAAATCGGCTGGCCTTGGTGCAAAGGCACTGAGAGAACAACGATCTTGGTTCACCATCCTTGGAGACCATCCTTCACCCCTCAGCTTCGGCCTCCTGCCTGAAAGCTTGCCAGTTCTGGATTAATTGTAAGCATGGCTTGATTTTATGGTGAAAATTAACCCTGGGTTACTGATTGGTCTCATTTCAAGCAGTTGTTTTAATTTGGAATGAAGCCATCTGTGTGTGTTGTGATCCCATCAGGTAACAGATGAAAAGGTGCAAAGACATCTTAAACATCGCGGGGCTGATCTGATAAGAAGGGACTGGAGCTCGTTTTTGCTCACTGTTTCTTCAGGAGGGAAGGCATTCACGAACGAGGCAGATGCTGTAAGTCAGGTCATATGGTCTGATTCACATTAACCCTAAAGTGTGAGGCTGATGTCCTCACTCAAAGCACCCTCTGTCCTGCTCCCTTTTGGGCACAGTTCATACAGCCTGTGGTCCTTATAGATCTTCATGAGTCTGAATGGGTTAATCTGACTGGCTCGATCCAGCTGTAACTCCATAAGTGCTATCTACCTTCTTGCTCGGGTGCAGTGCTTTTGGCTTCTGATCCTAAATAGTGCATTTTGCTTCAGAAGTAGCCTTCCAGGTTTAAGTCTCTGTCTGAGCTCCGATGCAGTCATCAAGCTGCATAGATTCCTCCATTTGGTTTCGACTGCGAGAGCTGTGCAGTTTTGTAAAAGCCCTTTGGGGCTTCTTTGGGTGGAAAAAGGACCCATGAACCAACTGTTTTGATTTGTTTTGGGAGGCTTGGCTGACAGATGTTGGCTCGTCCCTTTGAGAGCTTTCACATTGCATATTCATTAGTTGACCTTTTTAGCCACTTCCCATGCAGGAAGGACCCGTATCTACGTTTTGTTTGCAGTATGAGGCATATCAAGGATTGCCCATATAACTGAAGGTGATCATGTACTGGGGTCTATTATCTCAAGCTTCGTCTCTCTGAATTCCTTCTGTAACCCTTCTGTGTTGTTTGCATCTGCTCTGTGTTGGCCCACAGCTCCCTGGTGTCTCTAGCAATTACTGTTTTCCAAGGTAGAATCACCAGGGTATGCAGTGGGGAGAAATGACAATCTAAATTAAGAGGCTCGCACAGACTTGGAAGACGATCATTTGTCTGTAACAAAACTCCTCATTAGAATACTGTTAATTTCCTTTCTGTGACAATTATAGCACAGCACTGGCTCGTATGTGCAATGTGCAGAGATATTTCCCTGGGGAAGAAAAAAAAAAAAAAAAAAAAAAAAAAAAAAAAACCCAAAAAAAAAACCCAAAGCATTCATTGGCACTAGAATGAAACATTCCTTACAGAAGAAAAATGAACTTATAATTTCAAAGCAGTTTTCCAGTTTAATGGGAATTTGGTGTTAAGGTAAGGCTTTGCAGCTCTCCCTGCTGTTTACTGCGTTTATGTTAGATCTCATGGTTAGTGTTTTCCTGCTAGCTCCTGGAATAGAGGGCTCTTGACACGGCAGTCCCAGCTGCGTGGAACCTGTTACCCCTGAAATACATCTCATTTATTCTCTTTACTTCTAAAACTCTCCTCCTTCCTCCCTAAAGACATCTTTAAATGACTGCTGCTTCTTTCTGCTGGCATAGTGCATTTTTTTCCCATCCATCTGTTTTGGAGTTTTGATGAGGTTTAAGTTTTTAATCAAAAAGAGATTGTCTTTATGTTCATGGCCTGGAATATTTTGGCAGGGATGGTGTTTTACAAGGGCTGGTGCTTCTCAAGTGCCGGGTTTGGTGGCCTGCCCTTAGATTTTGGAGGAGCAGATTGGAGGGGCTCTGGACAGCTGCCCAGCAGCATCAGCCCAGCTGGGCCTTTGCCTTCAGCAGGGTTGTGCTCCTCCCTGCCGCGTGGTTTGGGTGCCGTGGCTCACAGCTGAGCACCCAGCGTGGGACTAATTTGACCTAGATCAAAAGTGATACACAGCATGGAGCTTTTGGCAGCTGTGGATGGAAGAGGGAATCTCTGCTGTGTGCTGCTGCTGGATGGAAGATCCTAGTGCAGCTCTAGAGGTATTCTATCTGCGTTCACTCATTATTATTTAGCTTTTCTTGTTGCTGGCTGCCTTCTAAACAAATCTGTAAAGAAAAGAAGGAATTCTCGCTTGGTTCTGTCCTTGTGGTTGAGGTCTGTGTGACCTGCTATTAGAACTCCCGTGTCACACAGTGTTGGCCTGAGGCTCTGGATCCTCTCCCCTCGGCCCCGTGCTCCTCTGCCTGCCAGCACGGCGCAAAGCAGCGGCAGCATCAGCCCGGCCTGCCGCCCTGCCCCCGCCAACCTGCTATTCCCGTGCTCGATTGGAAGAAGCTAAAACTGCTGTATTTCTGCCTTCCGTCAGGGCATTCCTCAAGTTCCTAATCCAGGCTCCAGATGATTAAGACGCCCATCTTAACGTATAGGGACAAATAATTACGGTGAAGGATTAAAAAAGCCGCACCGAGCCCGAATCGCGAGCATCCCCGGGCAGCAGAAGTTAGGTTTAAAAAGCCGCCGTAACCCCGCACGCCTCGCCGCCTGCCCGCACTTGCTCAGCGAGACCGAGGGCGCACGGAGCCGCCCGGCCGGCATCTGGAAACGGGACCGGCGGGGCTCCCCGCGGTGCTCCCGTACCTCTCCTCCTCCTCCTCCTCCTCCTCGCCGCCGCCCCGCCCGCGTCCTCCGCCGCGCTCCCGGGCTCTGCCTCCCGAAGTCCCCGGCGCCGCGCGGCTCCCCCCGGTCGCTCCGCGGGGCCGTGCCCGGGGCTGGGGACGGCGCCCGGCCGCGGGGGCGGGAGGAGGGGAGCCGGCCAAGTCGGCGCGGGGAGGGGTCACCACCTGCCCCGTCCGGAGCCGGCCGCCGGGATGCCGCCTGCCCGTTCTGCCCGCTCTAATTGGATGTTCCCTGGATGGAGGATTTCCTCCCCTCCCGGCTGCGGGAGTCATGAAGGCAGGCTCGGCTGCGCTTGAAAGTTTGCCAAGCGGCAGCTAGGTTTAATTTCTTTAAGGATCCGAGGAGAAGGGGGGAGGCGGGGGCTGGAGGGGGACCGTTTCCAAGCATGGGAGACAGGCTGCCGGAACCTCACGCCAGCTCTTCCCCTGCTGTGGCTGCCGGCTCAGAAGCGGAAGAAATCGAGGTGCTCGACTCCGAGGATGTCCTACCTATGGCCGCAGAGGATGTAAGTTTCCTTTGCTCAATGTCTTCACCCCTTTCCTCCGGGCCCGGCTAATCGGCTCAAGCTATTTATAAATGAAGTCCGGGCCGGGGGGAGGAATAGGGCCGGTGACCCTCTAGGACGAGGTAAAGACGCCGGCTCCATCCCCGCCGCTCCCTGCCCCGTTCTCCCCTTGCCGCCGGCGAATGCGGACTCCGGCAATCGTCCCCGTCATGGAAAGCCGTCCTCCTCCTCCCCGTCCGGCCAGGAAAGCCCCGGCTGCGGTGTCTTGCCCGCCCGGACCCCCTGCCCGCCCGGAGCCGCACCGGTGGGAGACGCAGCCCCGAGTGAGCTGCGGCTGCCGGGCTGCGGGCAGGGGGAGCGGGGCTGCACGCGGAGGCGTCTCTGGAGGCAGGAGAGGGGCTGCTGCCTTGGCTTGAGGGGTTTCCTGGGCACGGAGGGCTTTTTCAGAGTCCCAGCGTCTCGGAGGTGACTGATGTGAGCACTCCCCTTTTCCTCTTCCAGCTCCCCAGCAACAGAGAAGGAAGTTTTTCTCCCAATTCGACAACCTCCCTTCACCCTCAGGGCTCCGATTGCACCTGAGGATGGGTTAATTTGGTACCATTCTGTCTCTGCTCACCCAGCCTAGAAGGACACCGAGTAGTCCTGCATGCTTTGAATCAGCTCCTGCCGGGCTGAGCAGCAGAGCCTGCAGAGCTGAGCTGGTCGTTCTGCATCTGCCAGAGGCAGGAGCTCGCTCTGCACCTGTCTGGGGGGGAGGGGGAAGAGGGGGGGACACGTATGTGAACAGATCCTGCATTCCTGGTGCATCCTAGGACTGTTTGCTGCTCTCCTTCCCAGCAAACTCTGGCAAGTGTCTGCTCAGCCTGCAGAGATAAGCTCAGGCTCTGTGCCTGCCTACAGGAGGATGAAGCAGTGATACTGCATGTCTTTCTGGTGGGCTGTCTCTAGGACCTTGCATTGGGTGAAAGCAGCGCTTGTAACTTAAGCTTCCGGCAATGGCACATCTTCTTTTCCCTCTACTTTTATGATGTTGCTAGTGGAACCCGCACGGAGCTGTTAGGGGCAGTGCTGACTCCTGATCCCCCAGCCCCTTCCGAGTCCCTTAGAATTTGGTTGCTGAATTTTCCTCCCAGAGGGCAGCAGAGGAAGTACACTTGCCTGCTGGAGCTGCTTTCCCCAGGCTGTATTTCTTAGTGCTGAACGTTCAGAAGGAAACGTACTGCAGTTTGTCCTCTGCTACAGAACTGCCAGACAGCTGGCAGTGGAGCATGCCTGATCATGGGAATATGACGTTTTCATAGGGAAGGATGGCTTTCGAGAAGCTTTCAATGAACATGTTTCCAAATCCTGATTCTTGTGACCTTTTATTCTATGAGAACTGTTGTGCTTTTGTGTCCAGGAGAAGTGAGGGGTTGAGAGCCTGGCAGGATTGGGGTCCTGGCTCAGTAGGCTGCGAGCTCTCCTCAGTGAAATCTAGATTATCATCCTAGTTCTGCTACTGACATGCTGCTTGACCTTGAGGTAGGACTGCTTGGGTCTGATCCAGCTCGCAGTGTTACTTACTTTGGGATCTGCATTGTTATTTGACTCTTGTACCTTATTTTGTTGACTGCAGGAAACATAGCTAGAGCCTGCAGTTGCATTGCTTGTGGGAAGCTGCTGAGACCTGGCAATAGATGATATGGCAGAAACTTGAGGTATCGTGTATCATCTGCAAGTCAGAAGAGCAGGAAGCGGTGTAAATGCCCTCCTTCTCCACAGCCAAGGATTTCCTGCTGAAAGAAGCAGGCTGCAGAGCATCATCCCTGAAAATTCAGACTGCTCTGTGCTGGGAGTGTGCTCCCCTGAGACCTGACTTGGGGCTGATTTTCTGTTATTACATTTGAGACTTTGATGTGAGCTCTTCTGCTTGGCCTTGCTGACACAAGGTTGGCTCTTTGTGTGTTGTTAGCCACAGAAATATTACACAGTGGATGTTTGGCTGTTACAGCCTTGACAGCGTGTGAGAGCTCAGCTGTGATGTCATTACAGCTCTCAGAGCAGCATTTCACAAGGCCAGGATTCAAGCAGTCCCAAAATGTTCTCTTTAAAGTGCTGGGCTGATTTATGATGATGAATGGGAGTTTATAAAGGGGTGGGGATATGGGGAAGGTGGGAGCCAACAGCTGAACTGATTAAATGGAATTCAGTGTCCTGATACCCCACTGTCTTTCCAGCCAGTTCTGCTTTAGATCAGCCTACCAAGGGAAAGAAAATATTCTTAAGAGAACTGGATACCACTCTCACCAGAGCTTTGTGTTGCATGTATCCTAGTGAGGAGATTTGCTTATGTGAGTCTCATGTTTGTTAATTTTCTCATTTTGGTTTTCTGGGAAGCTGAGCGAGGCAGCAACAAAGTGTTGTGCTGAACAGCACTTCAGGCAAGGAGAACTGAGAACATGCAGGTTTGTAGGGAATACAAACCAGCAGTTACCCGGGTCACTTGCTCCATGGAATGTTTTCTCTTCTGACCCCAAATCATAGAGTCATAGAATGAAAATCCAGGAGATAAGAGTTAAGCACTTCACTAGGAATTTCCTATATTCCAGGCACTGTGAGGCAGCAGTGATGGGGTAGGAGGTGGTGTGGCACTGGTCTTTGTACAGTGCATAAAGTGGAGCCAGTCATCGGCTTGTTCTTTCTGTTCCCTAGTGAAGAGAAGAACTTGTGGAGTGTTCACATAGTAATCTGCATTGAAATGGATCTTCTTGCTACGCACAGCCTTTAAGACAGATCTGGTCCAGAAGCTATGGGGATAAATCTGTGTAATAGATTCTCTCCATCCTTCTGCCCTTCCACCTTGTACTAGAAGTATTACCTTAGATGTGCACAGATGTGATTCTGAGACCTGATGGGTTGTCAAAGGCCTTGCAGCAAATCCTTGCCAGAGTTAGCAGCAGGCAGAGGACAAGGCTCAGAACCAGACAGGGCAGTCTGTGGGTCAGGGCTGGGCCACAGGGATCTGTAAAAGCATTGCCGACTCCTCCCTCCCCTCAGCATACACCAAGCTGTCTTGATCCTGGTGGATAAAAAGCCTTTTATTCCTTACTTGCTTGCAAGTAGACAAAGCAGAAGAAAACAGAATTAACACATGAATGTTCTGAGTTCTTCTTAATTTGGATTTGTAAATGAAAACTCTACTCCCTGTGGTTGGTAGATTCCCCTGCCTCCTCCCCCCCGGAAGGGTAGGTGGTTCTGGGATGAAGAAGGATATTGGAAATGGCACTAAATCATTAGGTTATTTCTCTGGAGAATGTATTTCTACAGTTTACTGCATATTAATGTCGTTGCTCTTATACCTTTTTGTTCTTTTTCCTCCCTTTATGCTTTGCCTCTCAGCACTGGAAAGCTCTGTTTGATCAGGTATGTGAACAACTGATGTATTGTCTCTGTCTTGTGAGCAAAGAGTGTAACCCTCACTTAATTTCCTCTGTACTAGATTTTGTGTGCTTTTAACATACCGTCTAGGAGCTCCGTGTTCCCAGTTCCCAGCATGCAAGTCATTATCATCATTACTGCTTTGGGCCTTCCTCTCTGTTCCTCATCAGAGCTGCCAGCTACAGAAGTGGGCCCAGCCTGACCACCCTCCCAGCACAGCTCTGAGCAGAGCTGCTGCAGCAGGTGCTCTGAGCATTGCACTCACTTTGCTCACTGGGTGAAAGGATCTCCTCTCTTTGAGACTGGCAAACAGGGACCAGTGCTGTAAAATCAACGCTTTATTATTTAAAAAGGTTCCCTAGTTTCTAAATTGACTCGTGCAGGATTACATCTATTTGTTCCAGTGGAGGACCTGCTACTTTTAACTTCTACAGGATAAGCAAAATATCTGCTTTTCTACCAAAGGCTGTGGTCGTATCAGATAAGTACTGGGGCTCCAATCTGCAGCCAGGTGAAATGCACACAGCTCTGCAGAGCTCTGAGTTAGAGCTGCTGAGAATTTGGGCTGCAGATTCCAGTTTGTAAATTATGCTTTTAGCTGCTTTAACTGACATATGCCAGTATGCCACGCCGTGCCATGTATATGCCACGCCGTGCCATGTATATGCCACGCCGTGCCATGTATATGCCACGCCGTGCCATGTATATGCCACGCCGTGCCATGTATATGCCACGCCGTGCCATGTATATGCCACGCCGTGCCATATCTGAGGCAGAGCCAGGCACAAATAGCTGATAACAGACTTTCAGGTGCACCTCTTCACTTATCACTTCTGGGGTCACCTCTGTTTCTAAAGACTTGTTTTCCTTAAAAAAAGATTGCTTAGGACACTTAACAGTGTGGTGTTGTGATAACAAAACCCTGTGAGGCTTTAGTTTTATGCCTGGGCTCCTCGTGCCGCTGCTCCTGAATTTGTTTTTGAAATCATTTCATGCAGCAGAGCTGTGGGAGTGGAAAGCAGCGCTCTCCTTGTCCCCAGCTGGGAGTTTCTGTTCTTCTGGTGCTGGTGATGGGACAGGGCTCTTCGAGGGAGCAGTGATGGAGTGAGGAATGGAGGGAGACGGGGCTTGTTTTGAAGCAGGGTGCTTGGCACATAAGGAGCAATGCACACAGACTGGTGCACAGATTTGTTTAGCAAACAATAACCTGTGTTTTGTGGATGAATAAATAATTAACCTGATTTTAAAAGAAGGAAAAAAGTAATAATTTTGCTATCTGCAGACCTCCTCTTCCTGTCTGCTGGGCACGAGTGGTGTCCTCACAGCTATGTGAGCATGTCTTGTGATGTGTGGGTCTCTGCTTTGCAGATGGGAATGGGAGCACAGCATGGGGGAGGGGGTCGTGAGCTCAGCACCTCTCCTGCAGGGTCTTCTGGGTATGAGGAGAGCCCTCTGTACCCTCATGGGGGTTGGTTGCTGCCCCTCTCACATCAGCACTGCTGTTCCTTGTGTTCCTCTATGCCTGGAGCTCAGGAATGACCATAGTGACCAAAAGGCTACAACTCCCTTTCAGGTTTGTGTCA